GGAGACCAAGGTGAAAACACCACCACACTAGGCCCACAGAGAATGTGTGCTTGGTCTTTTTGTTCTTTACAAAGTGCCTCTTTGTGTTTCACAGAGGGAGGATTTTAAACACCCAGCAGCGATCCATTGCCCTCCTTCCACATTGCAGCGCCACTGGAAAGGAACCCTGGGGACGGTGTGGGCTCCGTTCCTTTGGAAAGCATTCAGATGGCCTCTAGGATCTCCTTTCCTTCCCCTATCCTCCCTTTTCCCACAAGCACTCAGGAGCTGCTAAAGCATTGTTAGGAAATGCATGCTACCAGTGTCCACAATGGAGGCAGGTGGTTAGAATAAGCACAGGAGTCATTCAGGGGTTGGCTTGTCTTCATCTACAAAGAACATCATCAAGTTCTAGAATCAGAAGGGAACTTTCCAATGAGTCCCGTGATTGTTTCCTTGGCAAATGACAAGAAAATCCATTTCAGTTCTCTCCCAGTGGCAGATTCAACCCAGCCAGGGCTTCTCTGAAAATGTGGAGTCTACAATCAAACCCAGGTCCTTGATACAGTGACCAGCTCTCAGCACCCCCGGACTGCATTGTTCCAAACCTGGACACAGGATGTGTGTCTGTGAACATAACCTACCTCATGAAGGGTATCAGCACTTTTGCCATTTGAGTTACCCTACTGACTGATCCTGGGTTTTTGAGAAAACAAAGACCTCAGACTCTTTCCACCCCAAGTTTTTGGTAGCTGATCCCACACTGTGGACCAGCATTTGTGGGTTAGCACAGGCCAGATTGCCTTCACAATCCTTGTGACTTTTTTCTCCTAAGAGATAGGGGATCCCCAGGGACACCCCGCTCTCCCTCAGCCTACAGAATTTGCCATGATGACTGAGGACAGGGCAGGATAAACGTTCTTGCCTTGCTCTACCCTTTCCCCATTTTCAAGGGACTTCTGTGTCTCTCCATCAACACAAACCCTACAACTTGCAATTGACAGCAGACAAGGTCCAAGGAGACATAAATCTTAGTGCCAGAGACAGCTTGGGGCTAGCAAGGGTCTTTCAAAACTTTCTCAAACAACTAAGATTCTTTTAGGTATGATTAAAACTGGACGACTCCCAATGTTCTTGCTTACGGAGACTGCAACTCTTCAATCACTCAAAAATCTAAGCAGTTACCGCTGAATCCATTCAGCATTAGATATCTGAAGATCTGTGTGCTGTGCATATGATGGGCTTCATAGCATTAGCCACTGGATGAGTGAATCTGTGTTGGGAGTTTTCAGTCAGACCCACATAGATTTCTGCAAGAGCTGGTGCCATTCACAGTAAGTCATTTACGAAAAGGATCCTATCAAATGCTTGAGATATGTTTTACTGATTTCTTTTTTTTTTTCCTAACTAGAAACATGTTTGAAAGAAAAGAGGCTACCAGCTCACAGACTTGTCTATTCAGGCGAGGGCCGTATGAGTTCCCTCATTTACTGGTGCATTCATTAGATTGAGAATGGTATCTTTATAAATGTATGATTCTTCACGAAGTTGTTATTCTTTTTTCCTAATGTGACATTTTGTTAAACTAGAGACCCTTTTCCTCCCCCTCTTCCTTCCTTCCTTCTTTCCTTCCTTTTCAGTTTCCCTTCCTTTCTTCTCTTCCTCCTCTTTCCTTCTGTCCCTCTTCCCTCCTTCTTCAATTCTTCCATTTCTTTTTTTCTCGCGCTTCCTTATAATAGAACACGTCATCTTAACACTGTCCTTAAAAGCAGGTACTCTAATGATGAGCACAGGATGACTGAAAGTGCTTGGGCAGATGAATTTTTCTGACTCTGCTGAGTAAGTCTGGATTTACTGGGGCGTAGCAATATTGGGATGGCTACAAATGTCTGCATCGCACGGGGAGCTCAAGAGGGTCTTAAGAGAACATTAAGAAACGTGAATGGGACCATCTTCATCCATCTCCACACCATGGTTAATCACACTTGTCCAAAAAAAGGACAAAATTAAGTTTAGAAGAACGTAACACAAATGTCTCCAATAGGAAATGGATTATGCGACCCACTAGAAGAAATCAAATTCAATTTTCTCTGAATTATCTGCAGATTCCCCTCCTCCACATGCCCTGGCATCACAGCTAAGCGATGAAGAGTTGGGGGAGAATGTGGGGTGTGGAAACTGAGAGAAGGCTGAGCCCAGTTATTCTGGAATCAATTCTTTGAACTGTGCTCTGAAAATCTCAACAAAATGACACAGTCTAGTCCAGTACAGAGGCCTCTCAACCAGGTCTAATTCTTCAGATAGAAATATTCAAAGGAGAAAACAGTCAATACTCAGCCCAGTGCCTCAGAGGATCAGCTCTGAAGCATGTATCAGGAAGCAAGTTTGTTTGCCAAAAGAAGTAAGGGGAGGTTGGGGGAGGGGACAGCATACACAGAGCAAAACACAGCACCTGTAAAGTACACAGGCCAGCAAGCTTTGTCAAGACCCAAGTAACATATGAACATTTGCAGAATAAGCCCACATGTGGAATGTGTTGAGAAGGTTTTCTCTCACTGCAGTTGCACCTGCAAAGACAATGACTATACTTTTCCCTCTAGGTTTCCCGTTTTTTGTTATTGTTCTGATAATTGACATAAAAGCAAAACAGGAGATTGACCATGTGGATCGGGCACAATGCAGATCAAGGAATGTAAAATGACGTTCATGTTCCTTTTGTGCTCTTCAAACAAGGGGCGAGTTACCATTTCCAGCTACAAAATGTGAAGCCTTTCTGCCTTCTTACATCCATCTTCACTGCCAAGATGAGTTTGTTCACGGTAAGCAAGTGGCTGTGAGTCATCAGGCTGGAGCCATGAATCATACACAGAGAGGCAACGTGTGGTCTGGTAGATTAATCAGGAAGTCGTAGTGAGAAAGGCTAGGTATCATTCACAGCACATTAAGGGTTAAAGGCTTTTGGTACGGAACTCTGTAACACTGCTTTGCAAGACACATGCACACACATCCATCTTCACATCCTTTATGCGTGTGTGTGCCTACACACATGTGTGTGAACACACATCCATCTTCACATCCTTTACACACATGTGTGTCCACACACGTAACACACATGCATATGTCTATACACACGTGTGTATGTGTTGCCCTCCCATCAAGTTCTGGCAGCTTTCAGAGTAGCATTCACCAAAAACACTCCGTGTTCACACGTTTTTACAAGTTAACAATGGAATGACTTCTAGATCTTTGGCTTATCCAGGCGAGAACTTCTAAAATCACAACATTTTTGATTATTTTCTCTATAAGTGCACAGTGAACAACGTTTTTTTTTTTTTTACAAAAGAAAACAGTGCCTCAGTGATTTAAATTAAAACAACAACAACAACAAAACAACAACAACAGCAACAGCTACTTTCTACAGCGTGTAACTCTATCACATGGTGAGTGGGAGCCACAGTGAGTCCTATGGAGACTCTCTTGCAAGTTGAGTTTCTTTCTCCCAGCTAAAGCATGAGAGATGATAAGGAATGCATATTAGTTCATGTCTTCTTTCCTTCCATTGCTTTGCCATGGGCAGTTGTACTTTCTTTCAGAAACCCAGACCTGAAATATTCTCTTCTGTAAGTAAATGTTACCCATATTCACCTTCGCAATGTAAGATTTCCAATTTCCCGAGAGGAATACAAATCTATGATTACTGGTATATCAGATGGCAGTAGGATGAGCTTGGTGACTTGATGGGCCAAGTCATCCATTTCTAAAGAAATTCTTTCAACTTCCTCTGGAAGCAAAACTCTGTGTAGAATGAGTTCTGTGGGAGAATCTGGGTTATTATTATTATTATTTTTAGTTTAAAAAAAAACTGTTTTGTTAGGAGTAAGGCAGCTCATTAAAGTTGAAAACTCATACCCTCCCAATATTGGGACAGAAAAGGAAGGGCTGAAAAAGAGGAGCTAGACATACTGAGCAGTTTGTGAAACAAAATGATAGAAAAAGAATAGGAGGGAGACCAACAATGGTGGATCCTTCTCTCCAATACAAAACAGAAAGTTGAACCTCCATAACGAACAGTCCTGATGTAACAACCCTTGGGGTTTGTTCACTCCTGGGTCGTACGAAGCCACGTGACACCCTAGGTTTGTCTCAGTCACGCCTGTGGAGGCTTCCTGCTCGTGTGGGCATCTCTGGTCTTCAGATCAAAAGCCAAGTGTGTAGAGAACCTGAGGAATCTCTTTCCAGGCAGGCGTAATTTCTTCCTTCCAAGTTCTCACCTAATATACAACACTGATCCGCACAGAGAAGATGGGATTGAGCACCCGGGTTGCTGGTTGAAAGACACGCAAGTTTTGTGCGGGGGTTCTCCAGACCAAATGCAGATGAGTGGTCCTAAGTCACCAAGAAGAGTCTCGAGTACAGGATGGGAGCCACTCCAGGCGGGCAGCTGTGGGCGGGGGACAGAGTCAACTTGTACTTTCCTGGGAAGGGATGGATTAGGTCCTCCTATTCTTTCTCAAGAATTCCCTCACTGAAGTTGAACCTGCTCTCTCTTCTGAAAGGCAGATAAGGGAGAGCCGAGACACTGCCTCCCTTGTGGGCATGCCCTTTCCTGTCCAAGAGACTGTGTTTTCTGTCCACAGTCTGTCTAGGAAATTAACGACAAGAACTTATGGCATGAGCTTGTGCCCCAACAATGCCTGAGAAAAGTTACAGGTTAGAAAAAAAAATATATTGGTTTTGAAAAGGCAAGTGAGAAGATTTTTTGTTGTTGTTGGCATTCTTAGACTGAGAAAACTCATGTTTGAATTCATTGTTAATATCACTGGCAGTTATTGAATGTTGGTAAACATGACATCATTTATATATACATTTAAAAAATGGCTCCTGTTTGTTTCCGCTGCTTGTCACAGAAGTTTCCATTTTGCTTCTTTTTAATTCCCTTCTTTTTCTCCTTGTTCGGGGACGGAGGGAGGGCAATTTGGCAATTTCTGGGAGTGTGCTTTTTCCTAAGCTTGGCTGTGTCAGGCCTTCTACCATTGCTGTAAGTGAAGGTCCATAGGGGAATTCAAATTGAGATCTGTGACATCCAGGAAGTCAATATTGAAGATGCTGGGACCACTCGTGGCCAAGGAGCTGAAACCTGGTGTGGAACTGGGCGGAGTCAGATCCAGCCACTCCATGGTTTCCCAAGGAGATTCAGTGAAGCTCAGCTGCAGCCCGTTACTGTCCACGGAAGAAGGTGAAAATTGTGCCTGCATCGGGGAGAGTGGACCTGGCAAGATCTCGTGGGCATTGAAGAGGTCTTCTGCTGCCTTCCCAGAGAAGCCGTCCATGATGCCATCGAAAGGAGCCTCCTCACCCCCGAGTTTCAGAAGGGCCACGTCGCTCACCTTTCCCAAGGGACTCTGGGAACTGAGTAAGACTTCTAGGTGCTCATCGCTGTCGGCGGCGTAGTGTTCAAAGGCAAGCTGGCCTCCTGAGGACGTCTGATCGAAGGAGGCTGAGGGCTTGGGGAGGACTGCAGTCGGGCTCCGGGTGGGCCCAGGCATCTTGGGGACCTTCTGAAGGCATGAATGGTCCTCCCTGGCATCAGCAGGCATTTCTGTTGGTGAAACATAAAATGTACCGTTAAGTCATGCCCCACACAAGGAGTCCTTGGAGTGGGGGAGGTACACTTTGACACAGAGATGGACACGTTCCCTGGTCAATGCTCATCAACCACCCTGTTCCCTCAGCTGCTCTCCTTGCCTCTCATCCATCTCCCTCTGCTCTCTTCCAAAGCCATTTCATTCTAGGATTTCTGCTCTGTGATGGTCGAACTCTTCTTTGCCAACTGCTTCACTGTCTCCCAGTGATGCAGCATCTTCCTCATTGGTAGCCCTTTGATTTCAGGGACAGAAAATGAGTGGTTGGGTGCCAGCCTGCTGATTGTTATGCTCCCTTCTATTTTATTTTTAAAGATTAGTTTTTATTTGAAAGGCAAATCTACAGGAGAGACACAGAGAGAGATCCTGCACATGCTGGTTCAATCCCCAAATGGCCTTATTGGTCAGAGATGAGTTGAAGATCCAGTCCAAAGCGAAGAGCCAGGAGCTTGCTCTAGGTCTCTAACATGGGTGTAGGGGCTGGATCAGAAGCAGAGTAGCTGAGACTTGAACCAGCACTTTGGCAATGGAATTCCAGCATAGCAAATGATGGCTTAATTCAATGTACAATTATACTGGCCCCTAAACCTATCTTCACATTTCATGTTCCATGTACATTTTTGCAGTCTCTGAACCCATCTTTTTCTTTCCTTATTGTTACAACAGAACAAATGCTTGCTCATTTCCTTGCTATTCATCTCCCTGACCAGACCAAAAAGGTGGGGACATTGGTGCAGCATGGTGCCTGGCCAAGACTCAAGCTGCCTCATTTTCTCAAAGTGTATATATTGTTGCCGTATTTTTACTTTGTCCAGAAGAAGATTGTATTATCCCTTATAGCCCTAGAGCATTGTACAATGCTTGGTATATCTCTTGCTTTTACTTCTCTTTAATGTTTAATTAATATTTGACAGGTTAGATACGATTCTAACAACACAATGACATTTCTCTCCTCCATCCCTTCCACTCTGCCTCCTTTGCCCCTCCCCTGGTTTTGTGTTTTTTTTTTTTTACTTTTGATAATATACTCTATATTTATGCTACAGCAAAAGGTTTACTAAGAAGTTTAGCAAGTAAAAATGTATAAGACAAGGTTTTTACGAAACCATGTTTTGTTTGATATTGATACAAACAGGCATTTACTTCTTTTTGTTTTGTTTGTTTTCTTATTTGCTTCTCGCATATATAAAGGAGAACATGCAGTATTTGTCTTTCTGAATATGATTTATTTCACTCAATATCATGTCCTGCAGCTGAGTCCAGCTTGCTGCAAATGGTATAATTTCATTTTTACAGCTTAATAATATTTGTGTGTGTGTGTGATTATATTTTCTTCACCCATTCATCTGATGATGGTTACCTTGTTTGAATACAAATTTTGGCTTTCATGTACACTGCTGTTTGAAACATGGTGGTGCAAGTAACTTTTTGATTCATTGTGTCCAAATCTTTTGAGTATATATATATGCAGTAGAGGGATGGCTGGATCACATGGCAGCTCTTTTCCAGAGTGGCTGTACCAATTTACATTCCCATCAACAGCATCTGGAAGTTCTTCTTTTCCACATCCTTGCCAGTATTTTCCACTCTCTGTGTTTTGAATTTTAGGATTTTGAGAAGCTAAATGGGCACTGAGGTCTCTGATGGTTAGTAATGTTGAACTTTTTTTGTGTATTTGGTGACTATCTGTATTTCTCCTTTTGAGAACTGTTGAGGTCTTTTGTTCATTTCTCAACCTAATTGGTTGTTGCTTATGAATTCAGGTCTTTTTTTATCTCAGGTCATCTTATTCATTTATGTTTTTTTTTTCAACATAGTTCATGATTTTTTTTTAAATAAACACATGAACAGCTTACAAGGCAAAAATGACATGCTGCTTATTTTGTGTTGATAGTTTGCATAACATTTAAGCACAAATGGGCCATCAGTGCAAGATGACTAATTGACCTTGCTTTTGAGTAGGGAGCACACCAATTTTACTATCTGCTTTGCTATTTTTCTTCTAATTTGGAAGTTAGGAACATTGTGACTAACCATTGGAAAAAAAGTATAATAACGAGAAAAAATTTAGAGAAACAGTGTATTGAGTTGAACTTGACAACTGTTAAGAAAGATTGGTGAAAAATGTTTCTAGAATGATTCACGTGTTTTTTTCTGCCTGCTACAAAAGTGCACAGGAAACTCAGGAAATGACTGTTTACCTGTTGGCCTGTTGACTTGTCACACACCTGGTGCACATGATTCTCAATGTGTCCCTGACCCTGGCTGACATATCTATCCAAAAGACACAGGTGCACAGGATTCTGCTGTACAGGATCCAGGCAGATCTTACCTCCACTTTCAATGAGGACATCCAGGAGTTCATCCATCTGCTGACTCCGAGTCATTTGCTGTGGTAAGCCAATCAAAGAAGAACAGAGAAGTTAAAAGATGGCTGCTTTGACACCTGCTGAGGCAGCACCACAAGTGTTTGAACCACCACAAGGGCTTGGTTAAAAGTTATTTTGTTTAAGTTATGGCATATTATACATACTATAAAATTTACTAGAGTCACCATTTTCAAGCATACAGTTTGGTGGCATGAAGTATATTCACATTATTATGCAACCTTCAGCACTATCCAATTCCAGGACTCCTGATCTTACAAGACAAGCAGTGTATTCCCATAGCAGCCTAGTCCAAGCCTTCAGCTGTGGTCAACCAGCATTTTACTTTCTTTATGAATCTACCTAGTCATAGGTAGCAGCCTAGTCCAAGCCTTCAGCTGTGGTCAACCAGCATTTTACTTTCTTTATGAATCTACCGGCTGTAGAGACCGCGTCCAAGTGAAAAGGCACAGTATTATTCTTTTGTGGCTGTTATATTTATCTAAATGCTATGTCCTCAGCATAAGCTTCTATGGTAGCATCTTCCAAAATGTCCTTCCTTTTCTATCCTGAATAATATATCCCATTATAAAGATGTCCAGTCACCTGCTAATAGACATTTGGGTACTTTTCACTTTTTGACCACAGTGTATTTTGCTGGTCCGGAACATAACTATATCACATGTGAGATAAATTTTGATGAGTTTCACTGATCAGTCAACTACTGAATGAAATCATCTGCTACAACAAACAAAGGAAAACAAAGGGAGAATGTTCACTAGCACGGAGTACCTAAGCTGAAGTTCAGGGTCCCTCTGAAGTGACTTGGATCTACCTCTTGTTTGGCAGCCATGGATGGTTGACCAAGAACTTGAACCCTGTCTTCCTGGGTCCTCATTGCAGCAACTTCAGGGACCTGGAGATACTTGTAGGATTTACCCCCCTTTCTCAGAGGTTCATCCAAGTTGTTGAGGAACCTCCTCTTTCCAGGAAGTCCTTTTTGCCTGAGTTTTTTTTTTTCAGGGGTGTAGCGGGGCTGGATTAAGGGACTGGATGCTTCTTAGGAACACAGGCATTAATAATCGATACAGATGAGAACACTGCTCAAAGAATGAGTCACAGAGCAGCCTAGAAGCACTCACCTGCCTACAGGATCTGGCAGGGCATGTAAATGAGCTCAACAGAGAGGGCTGCCCAGAGGAGGAGTGTAGAACAGAGCCAGGGCTCAAGGTAGCAGCCAGGATCTTGCTTCAGGCAATTGTTGCCTGGCAGAAAAAAAAAAAAAGCCTTGCAAGTTTCCAGATCCCCTGAGCTTTCAGAAATGAGAAAGCCACTTTGTAGGACATCTCTTGATGTCCTTCAAAACTCTATCTCAAATGAAACTCGGCTACAGATTGATGTTGGTCTGTGTGATGCCAGTAAGTGGTCACAAACATTGATGTTCTCTATGCACTAGCACATCTGAGGTATTCACAAATGCCTTATCCAAGCTCAAACCGTTTGAAATATAAGCTCCATTTTTTTTCTTGCCTTTTTAAGCTTTGCAAACACAAATGGAAGTCGAGGATACAATGACTCTCACTGAGTTCATTACTCACCTTCAACTGTTCTCAATATTTGCCATTGAATTTTAAATTAGGAAGAACTATTGAGTATTCACTGATAATCGTTTGGCTGTATTTAAGTACCTATTGTGTACCTGAACCAATAAAGTAAGTGCTAGCTTATTTAGAATGCCTACAAAGTGGGTATGGTTCCTATTTTATAGGATAGAGCTTGAGCAAGGGAGGGAGGGATGGAGAAAAAGAAGAGATGGAGGGATGGAAGAAGGAAGGAAGAGAGCGAGAGGGAGGGCAAGAGAAGAGTGAGAACATGAGCGTGAGAGAGAAGTAGAGAATCTTCCATCATCGAGCATGTGGCTCATTGCTCCACATGCTCAACAGCTGCTGGAGTTGAGCCAGTTCAAAGCCAGGAGCTCAAGACTCTGGGCCTTCCCTGTGGGTGGCAAGGAACCCAGTAGCTTGAGCCATCATCACTGCTCATCAGGGCACACTTTAGCAAGAGGCCTGAGTTGGGATTTGAGCCAGGACTTAAACCCAAGGCAGTGAGCCGTGAGACGTAGGTGTCTTAACCATTGTGCTAAATGCATACCTCTGAACTTGTCTCTTAATTCCATTTTTCAATGAAGTTTTTGAAGTAATCTCATAAAATATAACGTCAGTTTAATCCATATGTTCTTCCACAAATCATAAATCTCATGGTTACCTGTTTGACTGCATCTTCGTAGGATGGAGGCTGTGTAATCTCTGAAACCGCTGTACTTGACTTAGAAAAAGTTGGGGATGTAATTGGAAACTTTGGCCCCGCCTTATCAGAAGAGTGTAAACCAGCCACCTGCATGTGGGTAAAATTCAGAGAAAGGCATACAATTAGTGGGTCAGAAATGATTGATGGCCTCTATTCTGGAAACTATGGGCTATATTTTGGAAACACCTATCTAATTCCAAATTTTAAAAAAAAAGATCATGGATTAAAAAATAACTCCAAGATGTTAACAGCAGCACACAAACTCTGCATATATTCACAGCAGGCATGTTATAATGGGAACCTCACAGATTTAATTCCTCCCCCTTGCCATAACATATACCTTTTGCAAACAAGGTTAGCATGGGAAATTAGTTTCCTCTAAGGCCAGGAAGTTCACCCACCCAGGAATCTCCAGTCCTTTATCTTCCGGTCATTTTGTTTCATTTGTGACTTGTAGCAGGTGGCACTGCCACGACTGTCCTGCATTTATCTCCTTCCTGCCACTTCATTCTTTTTTGAAGCTTTCCAAGGAGGAGGGACTTCTGGAACCTTCACTGCCTTGGCTGTTCCCACTGATTGGTTTCTGTCCTCATTTCCTTCTCAAAGATGCTGCACTGGGACCCTGTCTTTCTGCCCTTCTCCAGCCTTTTTCATGGAATCCTAGGCTTCCCTTTTTCTCCAACATTTTTTCCCCCTGTGCTCCCCTCCCAGACTCCAACAACAGAAAGCTTGCCTTATTGTCCACATTGGCTGGCAAACAAATCATGGCAATTGTAAACATCATGAATTCTGGGTAGACCTCTGCAAATGACTCCCTGGGATGCATCCATTTCTTTTTTTTTTTTAAGATTTATTATTATTATTATTATTATTATTATTATTTTTATTGGAAAGGCAGATATACAGAGAGGAGAGACAGAGAGGAAGATCTTCCGTCCAATGATTCACTCCCCAAGTGAGCCCAAAGGCCGATGCTTTCCCGGGCCACAGGCAGGGAGCTGGAAGGGAAGCAGGGCTGCCAGGATTAGAACCGGTGCCCATATGGGATCCCGGGCGTGCAAGGCGAGGACTTTAACCACTGCGCCACCGCACCGGGCCCGATGCATCCATTTCAATGCAGCTTGAGTGGAAATCTTTCTGCCTCTGAGTCTCATCGCTCACATTGGAGGACAAGGGCCATGGCAGACAGAAGAGGTTAAATGAATCGCAGATTTAAAGCTGGCTCATGGTGCCTACCTTTTGCTGAACTCCTGGACTTTTGGGACCCCCAGCACCATGATTGCTGTCTGCCTGGGCTCCTGGAAAAGGGGAGTGAAGGCTGGAAGACTGGGGAGAGAAGCTTGGAGGATGACCATCATGTGCTCCAGAGTTCTGTGGAAAGAAAGCCACTACATCTCAGCGTTGACACCTCCTCTTTCCCTTTTGATGATACACTTCCCAGACAGTCCACCTCCTTCACCAAACCTCCCTGGCCTTCTCTAGCTCTTTATAATCAGCATGTCCCCCCACCCTCCACCACCTACTTCGTGCAGCATTGGTGTCGTAAGCTCAAGAGTTGTGTTATCCTATCTTGGTTTTTATTTTGTGACCATCCAACTGTTAATATCTTCAAAAAGTTTTTGTAAATCACAGATCGCTCTGTAAATTCTGGTTCTTTTTGACAGCACTAATATCATCACATTGAAAAGTTATAGCCCAAATCTCTGGTTCAAGACTTTTTTGATTTTTGTTGCCCAGGACACCGTGCACCCAGTATCTGTTGTGAACAAGGACGATCACCCCAATGGTTTCGACTCTCCCCAGATTGCCGTCAGAGGAGTGGGCGTCACTCAGTGTGTCGTTCTGCATGGCTGCTAAGATTCATTCTCATGACCTTCAGTGCTTTTAAGTAAGTGCTGGATTCCTGTGATCACGGGCAACTCAGCCCCCTCTTCCACACCGGCAAATAGAGACGAACACATCAGAGTGCACAGGGTTGTCATGACAGTTACGCAGACACTCATATCCATGCCTTTCGCTGCTTGGAACTTGGCAGGAACTTTTTTCAGGTGATATAGATTTCAGAAGGTCTGTGATCATTTCAGCCTCGTTTAAAAAGCTTTTGGGAAATGGAATTAGCAGTTTGCTTTTATGGGGCCTGGCATAGTGGCTCAACAGGCTAATCCTTTGCCAGAAGTGCTGGCTTCCCATATGAGCACTGGTTCTAGTATCAGTTACTGCACTTCTGATCTAGCTCCCTGCTTATGGCCTGGGAAAGCAGCAGAGGATGGTCCAAGTCCTTGGAACTCTGCTTCCATGTGGGAGACCCTGAACTAGCACCTGGTTCCTGGCTTCAGATTGGCTCAGCTCTGGCCATTGTGGCCATTTGGGGAGTGAACCAGCAGATAGCAGTCTCTTCTCTCTGTTAATCTGCTTTTCAAATAAAAATAGGTATATCTTTTAAGAATGTTTCTTTTAATGTCAAAATTGTGAAATCCCTGCATCTTTTTTCCCCCACAATACACATTTTCCACAAACTATTGGAAGACCTCTTGTCTAATTTTCTTTCTCAAACTTCTATAGACTTTCATCATAATTTTTGATATTTTTGAATAAAAGGAGTCTTAGAATTAGTATCTATTCAAAACCATTTCCCATGACTCCTCTCATTCTGCCCCAGCCACACTGGCCATGTTTCCTATTCTTGAGCTTTCCATAAACTTCAGGGGTCTTACAGCTGATGATCCTTTTTGTTTTGACAACAATATTCATAAAGTTTTCTACTTTATCTTTTTCAACATTTTGCCAAAATGCTCCTAGCTTCTCTTTTTTTTAAAAGTTGCATCTTCCAAGCTCCTCTCACATACATACCACTGTTTGCTTAATATAATCTATAAGTTGTATTTGACTTTTGCTTATCATCTGTCTTCTTATGAGATTAGGATTTTTTGTTTAGCTGGTTCAAAATTAACACCTAGAGACACGGCCCGGCACATAGCAGGTGCCCTGTAAATATGTAATGTACAGTATGTAAACCATGATGTGGAGGAGAGCGTTTTACCTTGGGCTACCTTGATGAATTTTTTTGGCCCAAGTTGCTAAGGTTTGATGCCAAGGAATCCTGAGGGGTGTGTCAGCCAATTATAGCTGATGAGCCAAATCTTGCTCACTGCCTGTTTGTGTAAATAAAGATTTATTGGAGTACAGCCATGTGCATTCATTTATATGGTATCCATGACTGGTTTCATAATACAAGGAGCAAGTTGAGCAGAGATGATGACACAGATGCTAAGTGTGAAGTATTTTAGTATCTACGTTCTGGACCTTAATGGAACACAACTACCAAGCCTTGTCTTGGAGGATAAGTGAGTCTGGTCTGCTCTGGTGGCCTGGAGTGTTTAGCTTTGCAGTTGGGCTTTTGGTAAACCTTTATCTTGAAGGTTCCAACATCAGCTCTATAGCATTTGGACACATATTTCTCATTTCATGGAAGAAGAGTACATGGGGGCATGGTACAAGTCATTCTTACCTGTGCAGAACAGACCTGGCTGCTGGGGGGTGAGGACACCCCATGCCCTTCTCCCTGGGTCCCAGAAGATGAAGGAAGGAAGTAATGGTTGTTGGGAGATGGGGGCAGGCTGATATGCTGGGGGCTTTTCACCACCCCCAGCGGTGAATGTTGCGGGGAGCTCTGGGGGCTGAGAAACGTGGAAGAAAGTACATTGGTTTGACCTGAGGCTTCCACACAATGGGCATTCCCAAGGGGCAGGAGCTGGGCAGCCTCACATGCTGGTGGTTGACTCTCTGAGGCATTGTTTTGTCTTTTCACAGATACCGGTTGGGAGGCAAAAGGGCAGCTGGACACGGCTTCTTCCTGCTTGATAGAGGTGGCCAAGAAAGGCAGTGGCTGCTTCTCGGGGCAGTTGTTCCTCTTCTGCTTCTGCAGTTGCATCCGCAGCTCCTCTACTTGCCTTTGCTCTTGCTGCAGTTTCCAGGTGAGCTCATTGATCACCTTCTGCTTCTCCACCAGCATCTTGTCCTTCTCAGAGTCCAGCCCATCCAATTCGGGAGGACCCGAGCCCCCATTGAGGCTGCTCATGAGACTCTCCTCTGTGCAGACGTGCACCGGAGATGGGTGCAGGAAGGAGGGGGAGGCGTCGTTGAAGGCGTCGGGCAGGGACCCTGCCACCGACAGATCAGAGGAAGCAGGTGAGATGGGAGGGCTGGAGCTGGTGCTGCCAAAGTGGTAGAAGCCATTGGACAAGGTGCTGGTAGAAGGGGAGGACTGGTAATTGGGCAGAGTGTTGGGTGTGACAGGGAAAGTGACTGTTGTTATATCCCCGAAATTGGGTACCGGGTTGCCGGAGCAGTCCTGAAAGGGCCGAAGCCGGTCCATGAGGGCGGTTTTGGTGCCTGACACAGGCAAGCCCCGTATTCGAAGCTGTTGTCTTAATTCAGAGACCTAAAAAAAACCCAGGGGGATGTTAGTGTATGAACATTTTACACAAATGCATTATTTCTGACACTAACTTGGAAACATCTCAGAACGCCATGTCCTCTTCTCTTTATTGGTGCTTTCTTTCAACTTTCTTCTCCCCATGGTACAAATTGGGTTTGCACACTTGTAATAATCCCTTCTTGCTTGGATACAGGCACTTTTTAACTTTCAATGGGCTTAAATGCTGTTAACCCTATTGAGCATTGGAAGCATCAGTAGAAAATGCATTGAATCTATCCGACCTCTCGCATACTCTGCCTCAGTGATATAGTGCACGGGCTTCTTTTTCTGACCACTGGGCTGCAAGCAGGGTGCCTGACATGTCCAGAGGGTTGGAGACATTGCTTGATCAGGAATAATCAAAACTCCAAGTAGAGTTTCTATCGTCCACATACAATTGGGAAGCGGAAACATGGTCAATTGAACCATCACAGGTTGGGATGACTGTATACAGAATTGGAATGAATGGTAAAGGTTCCTGAATCTACTGCTCTCTAACCTGGATTCTGGGTCCTGGACCCTGACTCTGTTTGACTGATGAGAAGCTTGTGAGTTCTCTGAGTTTAGATACAAGCCCCCAAACCATCACCCTCAAAGCATCAGTTAAGCATAAGCCTAGAGGTTCTCTACCTTGTTAGCTGAGAGCTCTCACGCTCAATTTGCCTCTTCAAAACTCAGTATCTACCACCGGAACCACAAGAGGACATGCGACAACACAGCCCACTGGACCCCTCCAAGGAACTTCTGGTTCCACATATTTGCAATGGAGCTAGGTCACATTGAAAACCAGAGCTCCTGGTAACACTGCTGTCCAAACTTTCGAGCCCGGTTGGATGATGGCCAAGTATTGAGAGGCTGTATGTGGTGATTATGCCATTTATCCAAATTCTGGCCATGTTTATTATTGCTGGCCTGGCTGTCACTCATGCCTCAGTTTCCCCTCTGAGATGAAGTTAGCAATGCCTGGCCTACAGATTTATTTTTAAAAGATTTATGTATTTATTTTCTTTGAAAGGCAGAGTAACAGAGCAAATGTAAGAGAGAGGAAGACTTTTCATTCCCCCATGGTGTTAATCCTCAGCTGGCGGCGATGGAAAGGGCTTGGATAGGCTGAAGCTTGCAATCAGGAGTTTCTCTCAGGTCTCCCACGTGGGTGCAGGGGGTCCAAGGACCTGGGCCATTTTTTTAAAAATTTTTTTGCTGTTTCCTCAGGCACATTAGTAGGGAGCTAGGTCAGAAGTAGAGCAGCTGGGACTTGAACTGGGTTTTCAAAATGAGATGCCAGCTGCTGGCCTCATACATTTTTATGAAGATGAAAGTGACTTCAAAAATGTAAAGCATTTGGAATAGTGCCTAATAAAATGGTTGTTCAGTGTAAGGATTTATTTTCATCATGTGTAATTCATGTGGAACTATTTCATCCTGTATTTTTTAATGGTTCTTATACATTGAAAACTATGAATATTCACAGACATGAGGCCCTGTCAAAGAAATGTGCATGCAAATGGTGGACAACTGAAACTCTATGATGCTAGTGAGTCAGTATGTATTTATTGTAAAATGAATAATGTTTGTGCAATTCATTAAGTGAAACATCTTGACATGATTGTAAGAATTACATAATGTATGTATATATAGATTTAAATGTTTGCATAGGAACATATTTAGCAAAATTTATGGTAAAATGTTATCAGTGGTTCCTGTTTATATTGTCACATTGGTGTATAAGTTTTGTAATTAGATCAGGAAATAAATTAACCCAGTTTCAAAAATGTCAAAAAAAAAAAAAAAGAACATACAGAAACAATCTTCCGGTATTTTTAGCATAAAGGCAAAGAAAAATAATTGTAGACATCTGGTAACCAACACTTAAGATGCCTAAGTCAAAATGCAAATAGAAATAGCAACCTTGGAAAATATTGCAGCACCAATAACAGTGTTAAAAAATTTAATGAGAATGGCGTGATTCAGCTGGTTAAGCTGCTGCGTCTGATGTCAGTATCCCACACTGGAGCACTGATTTGAATCCTGGCTGCTCCACTTCCAATCTGTCTTCTTGCTTATGAGCCTGGGTTGGTCCAAGTATTTGGGCCCCTGCCCCCCACATGGAAAACTGGAATGGGATTCTGGACTCCTGGCTAAAGTAAGGGCCAGCTCTCAACTTTGCAGCCGATTTGGGAGTGAACCAGCGGATGAAAGAGTCTCTCTCTCTCTCTCTACTTCCCTCCCTCCTTCCCTTCCAATTTTTCTGTCTCAATCTCCTTTTTTTCTGCATTCTATCTTTTAAATAACATAATCTTTCCTCTTTAAAAAAATGATGTCTATAATATAGAATACTCCAAAATAAAAAGAAATGTTGTCATTTAAAAATTAAAAAAAAAAACTAAGACTGTGCATATACCATCATTAGCAAGACAAGAAATGCAAATAAAACAAAAAGTGCCTATCTGTATTTATCAAGCGGACAGAGGATTCAACAAGAACACTTAGCATTAGTCAAAGTAGCAGTCAAACTAAGTCAATAAACAAATTTAAAACCTTCTTTATCACCTTGCTACTCAAAGCATGATCCCTGTACTGGCAGTATAGACAATATCTGGGTGCCTGGTGGAAACGCAAAGTCCCAGGCTCTCCCAGATAGACAAAATCAAAAGCTGCATTTTCTAGCACGCAGGTAGGTCAGCACACACGTTACTGTTTCAGAAGTATCGTTCTAACACCTTCCCCCTGGGAACAGACTTGGACAAGCCTTCAGGACGGAAGTTTGGCAACATAAATACATCAAGAACTTTCCGAATAAATGTTAGTATATTTTAGTTCAGGAATTTCACTCCTATGTATTTCAGCCTGAGGAAATAATCAGAAGAATTAACAAACAGCTGTGCCAAGGCCAGAGCGACCAGAGTTGGAATAACAAAAAATTTGGCAGCTGGTGAAAGTCCAAGAATGGAATGTTAACTAGATGGTGGAATGATATGCTGCGATTAAAAATGAAAATTTTATTGGATATGAAAAGTTATGAAAAATATTCATGCTATGTGAAAGAAAGAAGCATACCAGAACTACTTGAGTATTTACATATAATTATTTTAAGATAAAATCTGTTTAACTGCATTTTATAGCCAGAAGGAAATATAATCTCTCATGCCTTGTGTGCGTCTTAACTATTTCTTAAAATGTTTCTTCTTTATCTATAGACTAACATGTTTCCACGATGATTGTATGGTGCCTGATAATCTGCTAAGCTCAATCCAAACACAATTCATTCACTTATTCTAGGTAGCAATAAATACGTTATTCCTCCCCTTATCTTGTTGCTTCTATTTTATTTATCTTCCTCTCCAGGATTTCCTGGTTTGAAAAGTGTAAGATGGCACCTCATTATTGTTTTAGTTTTGAATGACCTAAAATTAATAAGTTCTACCTCTATTTCTAGAGTCGACTCTGGCACTGAATAATTTAAACGACATGATTAAGTAATATAGCTCATATTTTAAAATAAAATGATTGTGTGCTAAGTTCATTTTCCCTTAAATATCAGAATATAATGTGGGCTAGTTTTGGAAAAAGGTTTGTGAACACCTCTTTTCTACATTTACTAGTGTTTTAATCATTGTTAATATCAGCCATCTATTGCATAAAATAATACAACTATATGATATAGTAGATAGAAGAGTATAATGAAACTCGTTACTCATCCGTCAACTTTATTATTAATGTATGCCCAATCTTGTTTTTATTCTATCTCTACTCACTTCTTCCACTCCTTTTGTTGAATTATCTGGAAGAAAATTATATAATTTCATGTGCAAAAGTTGGTACTTAGCTCAAAAAGTCAAACCAAATACAGATGCAATACCATTATCACACCTTAAAAAAAAATCAACCATCATTTTTTTAAACCATTATTTCTTAATATCCATCACACATGCTCCCCACTGTCACACATCCCAGATCTTTCTCCACTTAAGAGATCCTTTTCATTTTACAATTTTTTAGAAAAAAAGATGCAAAAACAATTAATATTTAACCATCCTTCAAAAGGTCCATGTAAAATGGAATCAAAAGAGAAGCTTATTTGGGTGTTAAAAAAAAAAAAAACCTTGAAACCCATGGATACAAGGAGTCTTCAAATGGTCCTTGGAGATGCATATTATAAAAATAGATTCTGAAATTTTTTTACACCAGAAGAAATTTAGCTTTGAATTCAATTGCCATGAATACTTTGCAATACCCTCAATTATTATATAACTACCAGTAATTTTTTCAGGATGAATGAACTTGCTCTTAACTCAGTTCCCTATTTCGGCCTTCTGATTTCTGGAATTGTAACCACCCTAGGATTAAGCATGAATTCCATTCTAACCTTGCCAGTATTGTCTTTTATGATGCTAGAACTGTTTTGAAATCAGTCCTTCAGGTTCAAGTCCAACTTGTATAAGATAGTCACTTATGAGATGGTCAACTTATTTATCTGTAGCCTCTTTATGGTTGATTTTTATGTTCAGTTTTCAAAGTGGAATTTTATAAAGTTAAAATGAAAGTGAATCTCATACAATGGCTGACTGATCTCATACTGCAAAGCTCATAGCTACCACTACCATCACCATCCAACACCAATTATTGTAACTGCCATCAGCCAATGACTCTGCAAATGTCACATGGAGGGGGGTCAGCTTTGGTCAGGCTGATGACACGATCATCAGATCATCAGTTTTGTTCATTCTGATGACTAGATTTTCTTTTGAGCACAAAGTTCAGTTCTGGTTGATGCAGTAATCTCCTCCAGAGGCAGCCTAACTCATAAACATCTTTTTATTTTTAATGTTGGTAAATAAGCTTGGAAGTTACCATGTAAGTATTTGTAAGTGTACAGTTCGCTGCTGGTATTGAGTATGTGGACAGTGTCCTGTGGTCATAAGCACCACCCTTCCTCCTTCCCATACTGAAATCCTACACCCCTTAGATCATAGCTACCCATGCTTTTCTTCCAGCCACCAGTCTCCTTCCTGTGTCTATAAATCTGCCGATTCCGGCCATCTCCAGTAAGGTGACTCAGCATGTTCGTCCCATAGTGTCTGGCTTGTTTCACTGAACGTGATGTTTTCAGGGTGAAGTCACCTCCTCTGATCTCCCTGGATTTATGATTTGGGGAGTAGGTGGTGGGTGACCCACAGCTCTGGAGAGCATTATCCTGAGCTTGGCACCTACTCCTCGGTGTTCGGATGCCAGATTGAAACTCACTCAATGACATCCCAGCATTGTTTAATCCAAGAGGAAAGAATAGAGGAACCTTCATGATGGGGACTCCCGACACATTTTATTGACTTGTACTGACACTGGGCAGCCATGGATAGTCCTTCGATTCAGAATAGCCCCAGTCTGACTGTCTCCCCCACAAAGGACGAATGTGTACTGAGCATGGGAATGAAGCGACCGTGAGGACGGAGGGAGGGCCAGAAGCTGGGCTACTATGGGAATTTGGTCCCACTTCTTAGAGAATGAAGTGCCATTACTTAATAACAGTCAAAGTCCCTTGAGTTGGGGCTTCCTTTGAACACTACATGGTGCGATATATACTTAATATTGGGTTGCCAACATTTTATTTGCCTCAATAAAGACTAAGACCCTTACTTCATAATACCCTTATTTAACAGAAAGGAACAAATAAAAGGCAGTGAAAAACTTCCATCCACCACCCTCAACTTCTATCCACCACCATCGTCACTTCCTCGAAGAAAGGATAATTTAAAAACTCAAAGCATGAGAAAAAAATATTTTAAACGAATGTGAACCCAGAGGTGTGGATTGCACTTCGACACATGAGAAGCTCTTTCTGTTCTGATTTTTCTCATTCTGTCAGACTGGTGAAAGCTTATTATGGAGGTAACTACTAAGGTTTAGAACATTCTAGAAGCTTCTCTCAAGCTCACACCTTGTCTTCTGCATGCTATTCCATTCTGCTGTCACAATAACTTGTTTATATAAACGAGGAATCAGAGAGGCAAAAGAAAGTCTAGAAATGAGCCCCAGCTTCCACAGCCTGGGAAAGCTGAGCAGGAGGTGGGTGGTGTTTTATTCTGTGGCGTCTTCAACCACCACTACATAAATTCTGTCACTCTCTCTCATCAGTCCTCTCATATCCTCCTTCCCCTCTCCCTCTCAGACTCAAGAAGTCACATGGCAGACGCCTTGTTTGTAAAAAAGAGAAAAATCATGTCAAGTGCTCTACCTTCAGGTCATCCAGGTTGGGTGGCAGTGGGCCTGGTTTGAGAGAAGAGACACCACTTTGTCCAGAAAAACTGCTCTTGACGGGAGATAGTGGGGTACTGCTCATGGGTGTGGATGAAGAGCTTGGATTTCTGATCATCTGTTCGCTTGATTCTCTAGAAAACAAAGACACATTTAATGTACAGTCCGATTTGTATGGGGCAAGCTGCATTTAGATAGGATCACACAGTAATTGCCTAAAAGGATCGAACTTGTCATAAGTCAGCAGGAGAGGTCAGGAAAGAAAAAACAGCCGTGCAGGTGACACGGTAAGGGGAACCTGGAGCTTTGTTTGTGGGGATCCAAAAAGGTGTGGTAGACTGTAGCATATGGGAGAGGACCCATCCTTCCAGGACTGAACTAGTGCACTGTTGGGGGTGTGTGGAGGGGCAGCTGGAGCACACCATTTTCTTGGAGGTGGGTAGAGCTGAGGCCCACCTTGTCCTGAGCATGCCTTTGTCCTGGGTGTGGGGTAGGAGGTTGTAGAGTTGGAGCATGCTCTAACCTGGGGGGCATCTGAACGTGACTCTGTCTTACAGGGACTGGAGCACACCCTGTGCAACTTGACTGTGTTCAGCTCTCAGCCCGGTGGCCAACATGACCTGCAGGTGAACCAGAGACAGGCAAGGAAAGCCACCTGCCAACTCCACAGGTGAGGTTACTGACCTTTGCAAAGGTGACCCGGGACTGTGGTCACACAACCTGGGTTCAACCTGTCGATTTTGTAGGTTGTCACTCAACTATTCAGCTCTGTGGCTTCCCCAAGGAAGCGTGTCCTAGAATTGCTCACAATTCCAATAGGACACATATGGGTACAGTGTGTGGTGCTCCAGTCAGGATTGTTAACATTTTCACCTACTCAAGAATTTAGCTCTAGGAGGGCACTTCGAAAGGTACGTGGGAAAGTGGAATAATTTGGGGGAAATCAGTGCAGGGCAAGGAGGCGACCTGAGAAGCAGAGAAAGCCCAGAGCCTATGAAACTGCATCATAAGATGATAAAATTTTAAAATTAAAAAATTAGTCTATTTTGGTTCAAAAATTTAAAATCCACACACAATTTCTTTCAGAATATGCGTTCTCTGTCAATTTTTTTTAAATAAAAAGGACTTTATTTCTTTCATTTGAAAGTTTTATAGAGAAAAGAGAGAAAGAGAGAGAAATTTTCCATGCACCATTTCACTCTCCAAATGGGCACAATGGCCAGGGCTGGGCCATTCTGAAACCAGGAGCATCTTCTGGTTCTCCCAGTGGGTGGAGGGGCCCAAGGACTTGGGTCATCTCCTGCTGCTTTCCCAGGCCACTAGTAGGGAACTGGATTGAAAGTAGAGCAGCCAGGACTCAGAACCCAGATGGGAGGCTTAACCTTCTATGCATGGCATCAACCCTTTTTTTTTTTTGAATTTTGAAGATTCCTCTAACATGTTGAGGACCTTCAGTTTCCTCCAGTTATTTCTAAGTGGATCATAAACTGTAGCAGTTACTTGCCTTGTACTATCGAACACACTGAATTCTCCTTAGGGGTTTCACAATTCACTTTGGAAGTGCTAATACTCTCCTTCCCCCTTCTCGCCTCTCCCCGCCCCCACCAGGGGCCTCTTCTCAAGAGGAAGGACTGACTGCCTCCCGCCAGTCTCATGGTTCTAAGGAGGTGTGCTCGGCTTCTAAAGGGAGTTGGATGTCAAACATGAGGATGTGGTGCTATCCAGAACTCGCTGGGTCTCAAGGTGTTGACCCAGAACCAAGTTCTGCCCATGGCCACTCTCCCAGGCTTGCCCACTTACTTGAGCTGGCCTTGGTGCATCCCAGGGTAGCTGAACCGGTGTTGTTGCTGCTGCTGCTGCTGGCTGAGGATCTGCAGCTGCAGGAACAGCTGCTGTTGCTGGAGCAGGCGGGCGTAGGCTGAGTCCATGGGCGGAGGGGACTTCTCCGCCTTCTGATCTGGGGGGATGTACTGGTGGTATTTGAGCTTCTTCACCTTTGGCTTGGGGTCCTTGGGTTTCTTGTGGCGGTTCTTGCTGTCTCCCAAGGACTTGGACTACAAAGAGCACGAGGAAATAGCAGGTGCTTTAGGTGGTGGAGGGCAATGACTTGGCTTAAAAAACTATCTGATGGTCAGTCCCCAAATCCCAGGAATCCAATAGAGCAAAAGCACAATGCCTCAGAGCTCCGAAGACAAGAATCAATATACTACCGACATGTATCCCTGGACTTGGAAGGAACCCCAGGAACCCGAGTTCCAGTGCATGCATTTTTTTTAACGTAAAGCCAACTGACCGCCTACACAAAAGGTGCATTCTGGTCTCAAAATTATTCCTGAGAAAAGTCTTTTGTCTGGATGCACACTATCATTCCTACTGAAGCACGCACAGTCGATCTTGACGTATTAAAGGCATCTGCTTATCAGACACTACGACAGACTTTGAAAATCCAGAACACGGGGAGAAAGTGTTTGACCCAGCAGTGAAAATGCCCTTATTGGGGGCCGGCTGTGTGACACAGGGGGTTCAGCTGTCGCTGGTATATGCCAGCATCAGTTAGCTCAAGGACTGGATGATCCACTTTAGATCTAGCACTCTCATAACAGATCTGGGAAGATGGAGGAAGATGGTCAAGGATTGGGCTCCTTGCCAACCACACGTCTCGTCTCCTGGCTTTGATCTAGCCACGTCTTGGCCATTTTAACCACGGGCAGGATGCTCAAGGGAGATCTCTTCTCCCTCTGCTACTACTACTCTAAACAAAATTCAATAAACAGACGCTCTAGTTCCACATCAGGACAAACTGGGTTTGATTCCTGGCTTTGGATCCTCCCATCTGCTTCCTCCAGCTCTTGCAGTCCCCGAGAGACAGCAGTGATGGTTAAGCTAATGCTCATTGGGGCAACTTGCATTGAGCCTCTGGCTCCTGGCTTCGGCCCTAACCCAGTCTCGGAGGCATCTGTAGAGTGAATTAGCAAAATGAGAGCTCTTTTTCTTGCTGTCTCTCTGCCTCTCAAATAAATAAATGAATAAATACGAATTTAAAAAAAAATCTAGGATCTGAGTCTTTGGTACTTTGGGCCCCAAATAAGGTGAACTCCCCCTAAACGCCCATATCCCTCCACCTGCCTCTATCAAAAGCTGCTTTAAGGTTAGAAAGTAACCCTTTCAAGTAATAATATTGGACTTAATCATTAAAGAAATTTCCCATTGGAGAGCATGATTTGGACACAAAAGACCAATCCTTGAACATGGTACAATCAGTTAGATGTACTACATCTAATGATGCCATCTGCAAGTTGGGTAAGATATTTTCTTCATTGATTCATATAAACACTATAAAGCATACCATCAATATAATAAAGACCCTAGCAAACAGAGAACTTATATCTGTAATCTTCTTGTGAAATAAACCGTTTTCATATATTAGGGCGAAATACGTCTATATTGCTATCAGTTTTGAAAATACACTTTTCCACCTGACTTTAGGAGGACGAAAGGAAGAACATGATGTTAGGACCATGTATCATCAAGGATGCCAAGAAAAATTGGAGGCCACGTGTGCTACCAGCAGTGTCCAGGAGAGGGGGCTCTTGAATAGCTGGCAGGCATCGGTTTCCCCCACTTGCACCAACAGAATACACAGTCTGGGTGTGACCTTATCCAACACTCCCTCCCTCCAGCCTTCCTTTCTCTGACCCAGCGCATCCCATCATCCCATCACCGCATGCTCTTTTGTTTTCAATGAGGCTCGTGCCTGGAGGTCATGAATAATGAGCAAGAGGATTTCTGCGAGCTGGCTGATCTATTTCTCCCTGCTCATGAACCTATTGGCTAATTTAGTGGCCTCCTCTACATGCAGAGTTTCTGCAGGCCCCAGGTTCTGCTTGGCTGGGGGAGGGGGGCTCTGCTGTTGCTGCACCTCTTCCCAGGGCCTGGCTGATCCGGGGGAGGATGGGAGACCCAGCCTTGGGCCTCCCAGCCAAGCCAGAGCGAAGGAGTTGTTGCTCTACATTACCTTACTACAGGAACCACAAGGCTTTGGTACTAAGATCAGACCATTCTCCCTGGATACTCCAGGACGAAGACCACTGACTTCATGGAAATGGGTCATTTTATTCTCTTTTTGAAATTCAGCTTATTTTGATGTCCCACATTTTGAAATCCATACACACAAGGAGTCTTGAAAAAGTTCACATAAAATGCATATGATGAAAACTATGCCTGGGTTTCAATCTTTGTGCACCGGCAGAAGCTTAATCCTTTAATTCCATCTCCCCACAGATGTTTCGTGTACACCTGCGAGTTGGAATGACTGGATCGTGTGGTCATTTTGTGTTGCAATTATTGAGCACCTGCCGAACTGCTTCCCACAACAGCAGCAGTACTAATCTCCATGTCCATCGGCCAGGGTACTGGCTTCCATTTTCTCTGTATCCCCAGCGACATTTGCTCTTTCCCCTCTGTTTGTTGGAAGCCACCCTAGGGGATGCCAAGCAGAGTCTCATCATGGTTTTGATTTGCAGCCCCTTAATGATAACTGACCCTCGGGGAGCTTTGCTAGGAAACCCTTACCACTCATTTAGAACACGCAACCATCCCTTGCTCACTGATTCTTCCGTTCACGTACAACCCTTTCATACATTAGCCTTCAAACCCCCTTCAGAGCCTTCCCAACAATTCATTAAGTCATTGAACCAGAGCTAAGAAAACACGCTGCTTAATCAATAAAAAGTTATGTAGGACTAAAAATGTTCTGAGGAAGGCACAGTGCCAACTGGGTAGTTGAGAAGAAAGCACGCTGAGGTATGAGCGGAAGAAACACATGAAAACTATACCCTCCAAAGATTACAGCTATTTGTCTACCATGACTCAACCCCTCCTGCCCCACCAACCCGACTTTACATAGGTTATGCAAGGTCTTTTATAGCATTTGCAAGTCCTGCATGCATCATGGTCAGCTGTGTCTGCCTCAAGGGTGCACCCTTGCAATCTGTGAAGTCAGGAACCTGTGACCCTAAAGACATCCAAACCACAGACTTTGTCACTGAGAGAAGATGCTTGGGGCACTGCATGAATACAGAACCTTGGTTCATGGACACCCACTGTCTGTTCCTCAGGGGCTGCCTTGCAACATTCCCCATGGGCTGAAGCCACATGTGAGTCCACGCGTTCCCTGCACGTGTCCTCGGACCTCACTGGGAGTGATCTGCTCCTGGTTGGCTCTGAGCTGTTCCCCCGCCCCGCCCCGCCCCGGGCAGAGTCTGTACCTTTACGGCAGCGTGCACAGGGATGGGGGCACTGAGGGGGCCAAGGCTTTGCTTCTCTGGGTCTGGGTGGTTGCTGGACTGTGAGGCTGAGTCGTTCTTATCACTTTCTGAGCCGGAAGCAAGATCCTGAAATGCAAATGTTACCGTTACCAGAGTACAGGAGTGAAAGTGCGGTGGACGTCATGGTACGGTGGGTTAAGATGTTGATTGGGACGCTCACAAACCCTAACAGAGTCCCGGCTGCTCCACTTCCCATCCGGCTTCCTGCTGATGCCTCCTGCGAGGCAGAAGCCCATGGCTTAAGTGCTTAGGCTCTGCACAGGTGAGAGACCTGGACAGTGATCCTGACTCCTCCTGGCTTCCAACAGGCTCTTTCCTGACCCTTCTGGGGAGTGATTCAGAAGGTAAAAGGTTCTTTCTCTGACTCCACTTTTCAAATAAGTAAAATACATAACCAAACATGTAAATAATAATTGAGTGACTTGGAAATGTTTAAGTAGAGCCCCTCCCCCTGCCCGCCATACTCCACTGCTTCCTGTTTAATATTGACCCTCCCCCCCCAAGAGAAAAGGGTTCCATATTTATGTATAATTGGTCATCCAATCCGGGGTCATTTGGAGAGAAAGAGAACCTTCTTAGTAATGACTCCAGAAGGCAGGTGTGAAACTGACCTAGACTGATCTGACTGGGGCATCCCTCCAGCCAGTGTGAGGGCTCCCCCAGCTGTGCCAGGGTCCAGCTGCTGGACTTGATAAAGGGACAGAGAAAGAGAGGAAGAGGGGCTATGGGAGTCTGGGGGAAAGTGGAGCAACAAGGCAGAAGACAAACATGACAGCAGATGAAGGGAGACTGTAGCTGAACACCTGTACATGTGTTACATATGAATATGTACGTATGTGCAATGTGTATATGTGTAATATGGGTGAGTATGTATGGTGCACACATATGTAAGTGTGTACACGTGTGCATATGTATGCATGTACATGTCTAATTATATGCACATATGTACAGGATATATAAACACACATGTATGTTCACGCATGCCTTCTCTGTGTTTATGCGTATGTGCAGGGATGCTCACACATGTGGGCATGTGTGCATACAGAATCATGACAAGTCTTTATGAGACTCATGTTTTGTCCACAAAGGGGATCATGATATTCTCTTTTTCGGCATTCTTTGTTTTTAAAGATGTTGTTGATGATGATTTGTTTGAAAGGCAGCATGGCAGGGAGAGAAGAGAGATTTTCCATCTGCTGGTTTACTCCCCAGTTGGCTGTTACCACTGAGAATGGGCCAGGCTGCAGCCAGGAGCCAGGAACTCCATCCTGGTCTCCCACGGGGGGTGGAGGGGCCCAAGTTCTTGGGCCATCTTCCGTTGCCTTCTCAGGCACATTAGCAGGGATCTGGATTGGAAGCAGAGCAGGCAGGCCTGGAACCTGCATTCATGGGATGCCAGTGTCACCAGATAGTGGCTTAATCTGTTGCATCACAATATCATTTGCCTCGCTTGCATTCTTTTCTCTCTTTTTTTTTTTTTAAGATTTATTTATTTTGATTGGAAAATCAGATATATAGAGAGGAAGATCTTCTTCTTTACTCCCCAAGTGGCTGCAATGGCTGGAGCTGAGCTGATCCAAAGCCAGGAGCCAGCAGCTTCTTCTGGGTCTCCCACATGAGTGCAGGCTCCCAAGGTATTGGGTCGTCTGCAACTGCTTTCCCAGGCCACAAGCAGGGAGCTGGATGGGAAGCGGGGCTGCCGGGACACAAACCAGTGCCCCTATGAGGTGAGGACATTAGCCACTAGGCTATCACACCAGGCTCTCTCTCCTGCATTCTTATGCTGGAATGAATACAGCATAAGATAAAAAGTCAAAAAGCCGGAGGCTGAACAGCTGCTGCTATAAGCAACTCGGGATGAAACCAACGGATGGAAGATCTCTGTTGCTGTGTCTTTCAAACAACAAGACCACCCCCCTCAAGATCTGCCTCTCAGGGATCAAGACTGAGCTAGTTAGCTCTCCCCTGAGCCCTGGCTCCTGTCAAAGATCTCTGGGGCTCTTTGCTCTCGGAGACTCTGGGGTTCTACTCTGTCAAACACCACTGCAGGGACAAATGACCACAGGTGCTGCTTACATGGGGACTGGCCCTGCTCAGCACTGGTTCCTCCCTTTTCCTTCCCTAGGCTTAATGAAAAAGAACTTGTTTTCCTCTGCAACCATTCTTCAATCGGCAGCTGGGAAATTTGCTGTCAGGATCCTCCGCACAGATGGCCGGAGACACCGTTTGATGCCGTCAGAGCCGCCTGGCAGCAAAGACCAGCAGTGGCACGTGGAGCGGAAAGAATGCTTTGATTATAAACTCTTGCCCAGTAAACAGGTGCATTTTTTATTCTTCTTCTCCTACTTCTCTTTCCCTCCCTTTTCACATCTTCTCTTTGGCAGCTTTAGCTTAGTTCCAACAGAGGCAAGACGAGATGTCAGTGACCGATGGGCCTCTACAGTTTTGGGACACAGGGCCCTGGCTGATAACTTACACTAATGGTCCCTGTTTCATATACAGTCCTTGCTAGTAGAAGCTTTCAAATATAGATCGGGTGTGTGTCATGCAAAACCATGGAAACCCAAACCTGAAACTTTCCTGATGTTCCAAAGTAGAAAGTTTCACACCACCATGAAACCGCATAGAACTACTCAGAGATATTGTTCATAACGACCTTCAGGCCAACGGTGCAAGATGGAGATGAAACACCAATGGGGTCTTACACTTGTGCTTACGTGTGGGTCTCCTCTCCCAAGATGTCTCATTCTGTCCAGTCACAAAATCCCCCAAAATGTGAACTTGGAAACACTTCAAGTCCCATGTGTTTGGGACAGCAATCGCTCAACCCATGTGTCTAATTTTAGTCTGTTGAACAGCTCCCAAGGGGCCTAGAGAAGCAGACTGCTGCTAATGGGAAGGGCATGGTTGGCGGGATTCTTCCAGAGCAGATCCATGGCAGTGCCAGGTGCATCTCACTCACACACACTAAGACGGCTCCTTCCGCCTTGTGTCTCTATCACCTCTTGAGGATCACCATTGCGCAAGGCCAGGGACAATTCCATCCAGCCAGTATGGGATTTTCAGAGATAAAACTCTCCAGGGTAGCTGACCTGAGCAGTGATCCTGGAAATGATTCTTTTGTTCATCCTCTACCAGAATCAACATCAGTGTTACCTACCTGGAGTGGTCGGTGGCCAGCACAACTTCTAGCCCAGAGCAAGCATCCCTGTGGTAACGCTTATTTCCAAACACCATTATTCTTTTTTATGTACTGCTTTGAGAGCCAGAAAGAGACTAGAGAGAGATTTCCCATTCACTGGTTAGTTCCTCAACTGCCTATGAAGATTGGAGCTGGACCAGAACAAAAGCAAGAATTGAGAATTTAATTTGGGTCTCCAATCTGGGTAGCAGAGACTCAAACCCTTGAACCAGCACCTGCTACCTCCTAGGATGGGAAGCTGCAGTCAGGAGCCAGAGCTGGTGTCACTCAAATGAGAATGTCCTAACTAGTATGTTCAATGTTGCTGCACCTTGGTTTTTGTAAATGTGCTCTAAGAATGTTTGCAGTCTTGCCCTGCAGCATGGATGTTTCAAAGAAAATCACTGGGGATTCTCTGTGAGCCTTTTATGGAGGACTCAGCCATTTCTCATGGAGCCCCAGCTAAAAAAGGATGACAGAACAGTCCTCACAATGATAATCTATCATCAGAGACAGTACTGGGGTTTCTAAGAAAACCAGCTGTGCCAGGGCTGACACAGTGGCAAAGTTGGCTTATCTCACCCCTGTCTTCAGTGTCAGCCTCCAATTCCGGGCACCAGTTTGTGTCCTAGTTGCTCCATTTTTCTATCCAGCTTCCTGAAAATGGCCTGGAAAAGCAACACAGGCTGGACCAAGGCGTTGGGCTTCTGCACCCATATGGGAGACCTGGAAGGAGCTCCTGACTCCTGGCTTCAGGCTGGTCCAGCTCTGGCCATAGTGTTTTTTTGGGGGAGTGAACCAGCAGCAGATGGAAGATATCTCTCTCTTTTTCTGAAACTCTGACTTTCAAGTGAAAGAAATAAAATCTTATACAAGAAAAAGGAAACCAACAGTACCGTGTTGATTTCGAGACTGAAGGGAGGACAGATGGGGTTGTACTACAGACTTGGCTCACCTGGATTGTCCCCAGCGGGCCAGCCAACGAGGAGGTCTCGGAGGTCTTAGTGTCTGGAGGAGACCCTGCTGAGCCCTGGGGGTCTTCACTTCGAGTCTGATCTGGAGAGAGCCCATCACTGCTGCTGTCCTCCTCGAAGGCAAATGCGTCTGCTGACTTGGAGAAGCTCACCTGATTACCTGTGGGAGTGAAACCCGTACATTGAGGTCAGAGACAGGAGAACATCCGAGGGCTGTCTGGGAACTCTTCCTGTGCCCGATCGCTGGGAGAAGTCCACATCTCTCTCTGCTTAGGTTAGTCCTGAGTTCAGGGAAAAGGGATGATATACCTTCAATGAAACAGTTTCCCAAAACAGAACGTGGTTCATCTTTTTGCATTCAACTTTATGATCAGGTGCCTGCGTTTCTTAGAGAAACCCATACTTCAGGGAAGCGAAAAGGAAGGATGAGGAAAAGAAAAAGGGATGAGGAGGGACAATGAAGCCAAGGAACTGTGCAGGAAGAGAACACGCCGTCTTTCTCTTAGGCTTGCCAGAAAAAGACAGAGTTGAGGTGACCACACGCCATTTGCCACATCTCCACACAGGGAACACATCACTCAAACTGTTGAGCAAATGTTACGAAGAAGGGTAAGTCAGGACAGCTTCAAAGTTTAAATTCCTCACCGTCAGAATTAGCCAATGTCACTCGAGTGTCCCTCTGAGCAATTCAACTCACGCGTAACTGTTTATGAGAGCCATAAACGCGTCTTGGAAACCTCCACTTGATCCTTATTGTTTTATTATTTGGATTTTCTTTTGAGGCCTCCCATCTTTGCGTGTGCATTGGAAATCCTCAATGGCTCAACCCATGTGGACAGACAGCATGGTATTTGTAAGGGCAGAGATACACTGACCCAGGGACAAGGATCACCAGACCAGATAGGGCTATCATGACATTCTTATATGTCCCTTCCACTGCTTTGGTTGCCAAATTTCCCCTGGTTTATTATTCAGTGGCACAGTACATGATGTACTGCAGCCACAGAGTGCTCCTAACCCAATTCCAAAGCACTGCCCTGAGAAAGGAATGTAGGTATTATCAGGAAGTTTTCCAGCCCAGTATTCTGCAATCACACCAACAAGCGTTTTTGACTCTTGCTCCATGCAGATAAGAGCAAGGAGCTCTCAGTGCAGAGAATGGGAGGGCGACGGGGGGCTGGAAGTAATGGAACAAACATGGCTTTGGGCTTGTCATCGCCACGGCTGCTGGCATGTGTCACGGGTCCTTCACGCCGACAGGCAAGTGTCAAATCAGGAAAGGGGCCAGGCAAGGACAGAGCAAGTAGAAACTCCGGTCGCTGGTCTCGTGGGCAACCCACTATGCTAGAAGAGCTTGGAGTCCACGCGCCATTGGTCAAAGAGTAATACTAAGAGTAATATACAGGCTCTTTAGAAGTAATCAACCAACGAAAATGCTTAACATACAACATCAGCTTCCTCATGAGGCTTTTAGTCCGTTCCAGATTGAAGCCTAGGCCTTGTTGGGGAATAAAAGGAGAAGGTTTATGCTCGTCTTTTATGTTTAAGTGCGTGGAGGTCTTTGTTACATAAAGTTGTCAGATCACGGAGAGGGCTGTCCTTAGCCATTAAGACTGAAGTGACTAGGGGAGCAGAGATCTGACTGTGTTCCTGAGGTGAGCACTTCTAGAACTGGGAAGGTCGCAGGCAGGATTCACTGTGCCAACAGCACTGACTTTGATTAAGTGCCAGGTAGATCCCAATGAAGTGCTGTGTTATGTGGGGAGTGGGGTACTTGACATGCGCCCCCCCTTCCCTCCTCCCATGCCTTATCAATCCTCACTATTATGTGAAATTCTTTGTGGAACATACCTTCAACTGCATAAATAAAGTAACGCTGAGAAGGCAAAAATAAGTTCTACAGCAAAGAAATCTAGAGTTGGATTTGGCCGAGAACTTTCATTCATGGAATCAACTGGAAGATACCAGGTCCCTTTCTTGGGGCTACTGCTTCAGTAGTAGGGTGACTATTGGCAAGTTATTACACTCAGTTTCCCCACCTATAAGACTAGATCATGAGGACAGTGATGATGAAGATGATAGTGGTGATGGTGATGGTGACAGTGGTGGTGATAGTGGTGATGGTGGTGATAGTTGCCTCTCTGAGTTCCAATGCATGAAACTTTGAGCTAGTCCTAGATGTGGAAGCATCTAGTCATTTCTAGCTGCTATTATTGTTGTGATTGTTTCTGTTAAGAGCATCTGTTTGTCCCAAGCTTAGCATCATGAAAATGAGAAAGACCACCCGGAAGGCAGTTTATCCTGTGGTCAGCTGTGCAAAGGTCAGTTCAACTCCAGAGCCAGAAAAAAAATGGAGTTGTTCTGAGAGGTTCATTCTGCTGGGAAACTAACAGTAAGACCATCTTCAATACCAGAGCAGGAGGAACGTGAGTCCCTCTCTTTTCTGCTTCAACCCAGGCTGCTGCACATCGGACAAAGGTCGCCTTTATCTGCCTGTCTCAGAAACAACCCAGTCTTCAGGCTTTGCATGGTGACCCTGGGCCCCTGCTTCAACCTCTCCCAGTGATGGTGGCGGACAGGCGCGAGGGCAGCTGGAAGCTGTTGGAGTGCAGTGTCCTGGCTATTGTCCCTGCAGACACGTCAGGCGGTGTGATGACAAGGACCTGCTTTGGGAAGCCCTGACATCATTTCCCAGCTATGCCCGCAGGACTGGCTCTGGGCACTGGCCCCTGGGGGATCTGAGACTGGCGACTCTCAACTTTCCCTCTCTCTCTCTTGGAAGTGATTAGATGAATGAGTCAGTTGTACTTTCCTCTGCATAAACATTTAAAATCCTCCGATTAAAGTGAGATAATTGATGTCCCAGGTTAGCTTTCTGCTAGGACCTGCACTAAGGACGGGGCAGGACGAAGTGAAATGTGCAAAGGCACCCCCTAACTCATCTCCTTGGGAGTTTGCTCGGTGCACTGAACAAGAGCTGTTTTAGTTCCCGGATGGGTCCTTTCCCAACATCCCTCATCGGAAGAGTGGGCACAAAGTCTGTTTCCTAAGGTCACAGGCGTCAAAGTTGTTGCCTGTCAATGTGACCCCTGTCTAAAGAGATCTGAGGAGATTCAGCGTGTTACCCCTGCACCCCACAAATGGGTTGGATTGCCTCACTGCGGTCAGTCCTCAGTACTTGTGGAGGGGTTCGGTGGATAGATGCCTGTGGAATACACATGGCTGTAAGTGGGTGTTTCAATGAATAAGGATTACCTAACCCCAGCTCCCTAACACTTTAGAAACATACATTATGTTTTGAACTATACCCTGATCCTGGGGCTCCAATGTCCAGGGGACACAGTTTAGCCACGAAAACATGAGGAAGCTTTAGAAATATCAGGGAAAATAGGCTTAAAATTCACTCTTGGTGTAAAAGGTGTTTGAACTCCATGCGTAGTTTTCCTGGTCTGCATTTCCAAGGACTTTCTGTAGACTCCTCCTAGGCAGGGGTTTCAAAAAATTCTCTTTTTTTTCTGCACTTACATCAGCTTATCTCTTAAGTCCATTTTACTATAAACATTTTGTCCTAGAGTAGCTCTTGCGGGTGATTTCTCCAGGGACAAGGGTTACCAACAAGTGGGAGTATTTGTCTCTTACAGAAACTGTCTCAGCCCCCTCCTTATTCCTCAAGCTACCCCTCAGGTTTCCAGCATCCTTAATCACACCCCCAATCCCGACTCCAGCTCCTACGCCCTTTCAGTGTTGCCCAAGTGAAGCCCTTCACGTCCCCAGGTTGCCAGGACAGCCACCCACTTCCGGATTCTCTCCCCCTCCCCAGCCCCTTTCCCAGAATTTTCCCTCAGAAAAGTATTTGTCACATATGCCTTAGTGTGTTTCTTTCCCCCAAGGATCATTTGCACTTTGGAATGATAGAGTCCCTTCATGAGAAAGTTGTGCCAAAGCAAACTTTTTCTTTCTTATTCCAAAGCAAATAGTCTCACCACCTGGCATAGGGCCATGCGTATCGTCTCTCTGCCCTGAACATGGAGGGTGAGAAAGTGTTAAGACTTTGAGAGTCTTGGGAGACTGACTAGATTCTCAGTGAAGAGGGGGGACTTGATACGAAGTGGAAGCCGAGAATACATTGGTGAGTTACGATAGAATCTTCTAGAAACAGAAGTCACATTCAGAGATGGTTGATTTCTGGACCAGCTCTGATGAGTTGGAAAAGTTGGATTCTATATTAGGGGGTCATAGTGGTTCAAAAAAGAACTCATTTGTCTTGGATCTTAGAAATCTGTGTACTGAATCATGGGTTAACTGGTTGAAAAAGCAGTTCAAATGTTGGTTTGGGGTAGCAAATTTGGCCCAGACCAAGGACAAGGTAAGAACTCTTTTGGAGAAGACATTAGTTTAGTGAAGCTGAAAACCAGGCCCCTTCTATCATTTGAAGAGTTGGGGAATCCAGCCGGGGCTCTGTTATACTCGACCTGGAGGTCAGGAATCTGGACAATACACGGTTTCCTTGGAAGCTGCAGGAGATTCCTGTCAAATTAAAACTCCCCTAAGACCAGCAAGAGAGACAACCAACTAGGAGAAAGGCCCCAAAGAGTGCCTCAGAATTGAAGGGTATTTCAGTCATAACGACTGCTCCTAAACTGGACAAAGCCAGGCTGAACTCCAGGGTGTCATGGCCTGTTCTCATTCGTCATCCCTCCCAGGGACTTCATACGCGCTGTATTCAGCGCACAGGCCTGATGCGCAGTTCTCTGCAAAGCAGGAGGGAGGTCATCAGAGGTGTGTGTGCATCTGTAGCTATCGGGGGGGCGGGGGGTGAGGGGCCCTTATGATACATCACTCTAGTCTAAGCAGACTGTACTTTTCCTGTCTGGAATCTGTCAAACCTTACTGGCTCAGAAAACACAGGGGACTTCCAGAAACTCTGTGGAAAATGAGCTTAAAAAATAAGCTTGTTGGTGTGATATATAATATACACATATATAACACATCTAATATATACACATATCATACATATATAATAATATATACAAATATTATATATAAAAGTATAATTATATACATACACACATATATAACATATATATAAAGGTATCTTTGGACATCTCTGCTGAGGGAAAGGCAAAGAGAGGAAATCTGGTGTGGAAAAGTTTGGAGAGCAAAGAGTGCATATGGTCATTCAGCTGACTACAAGGGAGGTGCATGACATTTGGGAAGGGGAAGAAAAACCCCAGTGGAGAAGAGGATCTATGAAGTGGGAGCTGCTCTGTTTTATATGATGTCTTTATTTTTATTTGATAGATAGAGACGGATGTGGAGGGAGAGAAAGAAAAAAAAAAGAGGAGTCCCCATCTATTGCTTCACTTTTCAAATGGCAGTGGGGGCTGGTCAAGGCAAAACCATCACCAGGACCCAAATTCTATTCTTCTGCATGGGTGGCAGGAACCCAGTGGTTGAGCCAATCCCCGTTGACTCCCAGAGTCTACACTGACAGGAAGCTGGGATCAAAAGCCAGAGCCAGGCACGGAACCCAGGGGGCACCCTGAGGTCAGACGTTGACGTCTTCCCTGTCAGACCGACACGGCTGCTCTTGGGAGTGGTTCTAGAGTTCCCTGTCTTCAGAGTTGGAGAACTGTTGGTCTTGACTGAGTTTTGGAGACAGGGAGACAGTGACTGAGTGGTCCTCTCTGGAGCTTGGCAGAAACACAGCCGCGCAGCTGCAGGGACAGCTGGAAAAATGTAAACACATCTGGACAGGCACGTGGACGAAGGAGGGAAAAATACACAGAGGCTGCAAGAATGATACACAGAACAACCGCAGCTTCTCCTAGGGAGCAGACAGGATCACAAGGAACACCAGGCAGGAGAATGGGCTGGGCCAGCTCCCCTCCTAGAAGGACCACACTGGTGTCTAAGCAATTCCTTCAGTCTATGTGACATTTTCCTGTTATGCAGCTGCCTTGCCCATAAAAACTCCTATGTGTGTGTGAAAGTTCACTGCTCAAAAAAAGTGCATGGGTTGAGTAACAGGTGCTCAGTTCTCCACCATGGGAAGGTTTTGAGTTTTTCTTGGAAGAGGTACACTCGTGTCCTCTTTCCCTTATTTTTCATAGATTCCCCTTCTCTATCATAAATAAACACCGTGTGAAAGTTTCAGCTGAAGTCATTTTCTCTCTGGAATCTTCCCTGCACCTTCCAACCATCCTTCTCTAACTAGGTGTCCAGGATTTTTTTTTTGTTTTTTTGCATCCTAGATTATTTTGATTTTCCAAACACTTAACTCTTATGATGATGTAATATATACCTGCATGCTGTGTTTTGTCTCCCCCAATGTAATGCTAGCTTTGCTAGAGCAGAAATCTTTGTATGTGTGGGCAACTGATATTCTCTCAGTATTTAGAAATATTATCTGGCATCAGAAGTACTCAACAGACACTAAATGAAAAAGAAAATGAAGAAAGAGCAATCTGACCTAGTCCATGAGCATACATTGTCACATACCCTAAGGACTCCCAAGGCTGTAGCTCCAGACTGTCCCAGACTTTAGCTTTCCAGAGCTTACTGCCTGGTTAGCCTCTGCCCTTGGAATTTCAATGGGCCCCTCAAGTTGCATGACTCAAAGCAAGGCTTCGTCATCTCTCCTCTTATCTGCTCTGTCATCATGTTCTGTCTCTCCTGATAAAGGGCAGTACTGTTTGTCCCATAGTCCAAGGGAGAAATTTGGGATGATACTTTGATGAAGCTGACATAGCCTGTTGATCTGTCACCTCATCATGTAAACTCAATCACCTCTCCAGTCTCCTTGCTTTCTTTCATTGCAGCCCTATTCTTGAGCAGCCGCCCCACTAATCAACGGAACAACTTCCCAGTGGAACGGATCTCGTTCTGGCTCTCTTGAGTCCACTTCACGCAACACAGCTGGGAAGACTTTCTGCATACAGAGCACCTGCCTGCCTGCCTGATGCAGCTTTCAACTTCTTTTCATCGTTTTCCTTTCTGCTGTTGTTTTCGGTTGTGTTTCTCCCCATTGCTTCTGCGTACCTCCTTATGTAAGCTTCTCTGAAGTGTGAACCTGTCTATCCCTTTGGAGATACAACCTAAAGGAGCTCTAGTATCCAGCCAGTATGTACTCCTCCATCCAGATCGCCCTCTTCCTCCATTTCTTACGAAGGCCAGATAAGACTCCATTCTTTGTAGCATGTCTTGAGTAGGGACCCACAGTGGTATACCTCTTGTGACTTTGTCTATCCCCTTTGCAAAAATTAACACAGAAATGATAGTTCTCGTCTTCTGTGAACTTTCCTCACCTAAGTGCAAATTTCTGGAGATCCAAAACAAAGACTATGTCATGAATGTGTCTTCAGTATCTAGCTATATCCTCACATCAATTATTTAATGGATCATGGATGGTGCTATGGCATGGCAGGTTAAACCATTGCCTGCCTGCAGTGCTGACATCCCATATGCTGGTGTGAGTTCACTCAGTCCAGCTCTCTGCTAATGTTCCTGGGAAAGCAGTTAGATTGGTCCAAGTGGTTGGGCTCCTGCACCCACGTGGGAGGCCTAGAGGAGCTCCTGGCTCCTGACTTCAGTCTCATTCAGCTCCAGTCATTGTGACCAGTACAAGTGGATGGAAGATGTCATTTGCTCTCTGTTTCTCCCCCTCAACTCCTCTGTAACTCTGCCTTTCAAATGCATAAAATAAATCCTGAAAAATTACTTAATGGATCTACCTCGGAAAAAAAAGGCCCCATTACTATTACAGAAATTTTACAGATGAGGGAGTTGATGAGGAAAAGCCACTTGTCTATGAGCACAAGGTCAAGTCTAGGTTTGAACACCAGGCCGATGGACTCCACAGCTTCTATTTTACTGCCTTCAGGTGGCTTTGCATCTTGTGGATTTTATTTTTTTCTTAACCCTCTTCCCCCTTTTAATTGGTGTGCTTGTATTTATACCATGTGCCCACTGTACCTGCAGCCAGATAAGTTTTCCTGAGTCTCAGCTCTCTTCATAGTGATTTTCCTACTCAGAAAGCTAGACGGAGAGCAAAATCGAATCTGAGAAAAGCCAACACAAATCTCTAAACAATTGTGCCTTGCTTCCTTTTGGCCAATCAGTTGCGAAGAGGAGATTTCTAGTTTGTTTAGTGAAAAATGGAGGGAGGGAGAAAGAAAACACACAACATTCAAGACTACTTTCAAGTTAGTGGAAAGTAGGGCCGGGCCTTGGCCTTGCCGTGAAGACACTGGTTAGGATGCTTGCCTCCCAGCCATGGGAGCCACCTGCACTGAATTCTTACCTCCTGAACTTGACCCCTTGCCTACGGCTGGCACATGAAGAGTCAGTCAATGCATGGAAATTCTCTTACTGTCTGTCACTTCTTCCAGCTCTCAAATTTAAACAAGCAATTAAAGCACTTGTGGAAAATAGAATTGCTACAATAGACTTAAAAGCTAAGTTTATTTTGATATGAGAATTTGAAATCTATGTATAGTTTTTTTTTAATAACACATTTCCATGAACTTTTTAAAGTACCCTTGTACATGGTTTTGAAATGATAAATGGAGTCTGACTCTAGTTTTAGAGAAACTTGAAACAATTGTGAGGCAATACTAAGTCCTACGTGCTTGAGACTCATTCCTTTGGAGTTCAGGAGTATAACGAGAAGTCTTAGCTTAAAGAGGTTGGTTGTACATATCAACTTCAGAAGGAATTTTACGTCCCTAAGTAATTATAGCTAAAATAGTGGAACAGTCATTGAAGAACTACTCCTAAGAGGGCCACTGGTTCCCATGATATTAATAAGCAATGTTTTCAAGTAACCACTGTGATTGTACTTGCTTCTAGAACATTGGAAAATATGTAGAGGTTAACTGTAACTTTATTCATGAAGCAAGCACAGATAGATAGTTCACAATTTATGATGCTTCAAATTACTTTTTTTTCCATTTCACAGTAGTGCAAAAATGATGAATATTCAGTAGAAACTGTAGTTGGGATTTTGAACTTTGGTTTTTTCCTAGGCCAATGCTAGGTGGCACGAATGTCTCTGGTGATGCTGGACGGTTTGTAGCCAGCCCATGGCCATGAAGGAAAGCAGTGACCCTTATATGGCCTGTGGTGCTACTAAGACGTTCTAAGTTAAGGGCATTAAACACCCTTATCCATATTGTTTTGATGATATGTCAAACCACACAAACTTACGAGAAGATTTTAAAAGATATATAGCACAATGGAATTAAAACATAAGTTTACTTTGGTATGCAAGACATTTTTTTATTGAAACATGCATAATCTTTTTATAATAAAAATCTTCTATAAACTTATTGAAGATACTTCCTATGCATGAATTCCCAAAATTTTGTTGACCCAAACTTTTTTTAAAAGCCATTCTCTTACCAAGTGTTCCCTAAGCTGTTTGTTGATCTGGCTGGAAGAAAGATGGCTTGCCTATGGAATAATTATATTCCCCCTTTTTTGTTCTGTCTTCTATTGGGATTTTCCCAGTTGCCATTAAACCCCCTCTATGAGCGAACTGAAGTCTATGAAATGATTGTAGCAGTTGATGGCAGAATTCCTGTTGATGATTAACTATGTGTATCTGGCCTCACGACCACAGGAGAGTTTTCCATGCATTGTTTGACATGGATTTCACTCCTAAGAACTGGGTAGGACCAGACACCGTCACCTTCACCTCAGTGAGAAACAGTTAGTTGGGCAAACCCCAGCTGATAATAGCCAAACTGGGCAGGAATCCCAGTTCTCCTGCTTCAAAATCAATTGTCTTCCCAAGGTACTGGTCCACCCCTTTTAAAAACAGGAAGCTCAAGAGAGTCATGACCGTGATTCCTAACACGTGGGATCTAAGAGGGGAGATGGTTTGAGGCTTATGGTCACTCAGGTTCCTAGCCTGGCTAAGTCACGTGAACTTGAGTTGTGCTCACCTCAACTGGGAGAGTGAGTGAATGTGGGTTTCTTTCTCAACCCTAGGGTCTCGTCTCTGGCTGTGGGTAATATGCTAATTTGGTTCTTGTGCAGTAAGAAGGGCCAGCAGGATGTCATCAGTGTTCTCATAGCCTTGGGATGTAATGAATGATCAGACACAGGCATGTCATTTGCTCTCACCACCTTTTATGGCCTCCTTCACGGAAGAATCCACAGGGAGAATGTTCTTCTCCACCAGCTCCAGGGGCCCGGGCCGGAGAGCAATCTTCTCATTGAGATCATCTGCGAGTCGGGCTCTTTTCAGCTTCATCTGAGCAGATGGGAGGGACCTCTCCGTAGTGGAGGCTGAGGGGTTGAAAGGAAAAGGGTCAGTTCTCGAATTTGATGCCTTATTTATTATCTTTTTTTTTTTTTGCTCGTTTTTGGCTTGTGATGACAAAACATTGTGTCACGTCGTGCTCTACCATCCTAATAATTTTTCAATGCAATCATCATCACTTCATGGGGATTAGCACAAAAGACCAGACACTTCCAAATAAAGGCAAATAGAGAGGCACAGGAGAAAAGCTCGAGAAACTTGCTTTGCGAGGATTTGTGGAAAAATGTGCAATTTGGCGGTTTTGTAAGCAAGCCATCCACGCAGGCCCAAGTTGCTTGCCTGACCCTAAGCTACAGGATTGGCATTGTGACTGGCACAAGCTAAGCCTGTAGTCAGTGTGATCTATTGTCTTCATGAGAGGGGGTGGCATGACTTGTTGTGGGTTTCAGACATGTCATTTCTGTGACACAGACTGAGCCAAGACTCCGGGTCAGCTGTAAAAGCTCCCTTTGACAAAGTTATCTAGTTAAACAGAGGGATTTTTAATTTCAGTCAACTGTTTCCAACAGGCGATTGCTCATCATTTATGAAGTGAGAAACGTGACCCCCCTGTAGAGTCCTAAATCCACTCTATAAGGCTGACACCAACTCCCCACCAGATTGAGTTTGTCCTTGCTCTGGTGCAGACCTCAACGAAGCATCTTGCCAATTCCTTTCCCCAGTGGAGAACCCTAAGTTAACATTCCATAAGTGTCTGCAGCTTCTCTGATAGACTAAGAATGTGGAGAGCCTACGGAGAAGTCTGCCAACGCTACTATTTTGCCACTGCTGATGTCCCCATTCAAATTTTGCACATAGAAGGTGATCTAGAACTTTCCACACAGGAGAGGTCTAGTGATGCCCCATCTGCTGCAGTAGACTGAACTTGTCTGGAAACTGCAGATGCTTAGTTCTTTGCAACGGGAAGTAGGAGACATTAGTACTCAACCCGAAGAAGGCGCAGCCTAAATCCTCTGCAAACCACCCCCTTGAGAACGCTACAAGGGCTCCTTGCTAAACTCGCTAAGAGCTCCCTGATCCACCACATGGCAACAGAGGACTAATTTCCAGAAGATTTTCCTCTCCTCTTATATATCTTGCTGTCATTACCAGCTGACAGAACAGATCCACTTCCTTTTATGACCTGAGGCTCTTCATCCTAAATCCACCACACCAGTGAGCCCACTTTTTCCTTTCAGCAACTCATGCTGCCCTACAGTCACTTCTGTGCCTTGGTTTATTTCCTTTCTCTACTGTCAAGAGCTTCCTGTCTACTCCCCACCCACCTTCATCCCAGCCCAGAGCCCTCCTCACTCTCCCTGTTCTTAAGGATCTCCTCTGCATTGATTACCTCTGGCATTTACAAGCTCTGACCCTTGGTCTTACCCTGCTGCTACTGAAATTTGGCAATGAATTCTTCTAGGGCAAGGGTCACTTTGGGGCTAGCAGATCTTTGGTGCTCCAAGGGGCTAATTCTCTACTCTGTTGGGGACAAGAAGGGGATTCTGTGACACTCCTCAGAGACACTGCCACTCAGCTGAGGTCTTTGCCATTCAATGTCCTGAGATTTTTCATTTAAGACTAACATAAATAACATTGCTTAAACTGTTTGGACTGTAGTATTATTCATTGTCACAAAGATAAAAAATGCTGAGTCTACCAAAAATAATGAATGCCACGGGAAATTTCCCCCTTAGCCAATTATTCTGGATACTTGAGTATCTTTCTTAGTCATGTATATTTATTGTTAGTTCTATATATTTTTTTCTTGCAAGAATCTGACTATAAATATACTTTACGTATTTTTTTTTCTTCCCCAAATGTGGCCGTAAATATAGCATTGTTTTGTGCCTTTTTTCCCCACTAAACATTATCTTGTAAGCACTTTCTCATTAAATTGTTAGTCTTTGAAAGTCTTGTTTGTAATAGCCAGTAATCATTTGAATGATTTGTAATTTACTCAGCTAACCTGCTATTGTTGGACATGTCATCATTTTCAATGCTGTGCTACCTAAACTAATTCCATCATTGCAGCAGTGGAAGTTGGTACAGTCATAAAATCTCTCTGCTTGGGTTGCCTACACTCCGTATTGAAGTACCCAGGTTAGAGTCCCGTCTCTGTTCTCCATTCTAGCTTCCTGCCAATGTGCACCTTGGGAGGTAGTGGATCATGGCTCAGATTCTTGGGTCCCTGCCACCCATGTGGAGACCTATGTGAGTTCTTGGCTACTGATTTTCATCCCTAGGTGAGTTCTTGGCTACTGATTTCAATCTGGTCTAACCCTGGCTATTGGGGAAGTTGTGGAAGGAGGTGAATCCATGGGTAGGAAATACATCTGTTTATTTGTCTTCCAAGATTAAAGTTACTATTCATGAATCTTTGTATGTCTTATTATTTTCTTGGATAAAATGTCAGAAACTGTGTTATAGGACTAAAAGGTGGGTATACTTTTAAAGATTTCATACACACTGTCAAAATTTACCAGCAATTTACCTTATTGCATTCCCACTAACAGTGCATAAAAATGTATGTCCTATTCCAATTCTTGAATATATATTTGTTTTTATTTGCAACTTGATCCTTGAGAAGTCTGTATGTTATTGGAAATGGAATTTCTGGGATTATATGTCTAGCTATGATTTGTTGCTGATACAGGAGCTATTTTCAGGTACCTAGACATTATCTCAGAGGAGGTAGGCATCTTGTCCCTTTCTCTTAAGATTCTTTCTCTTCTCTCCCAAGGCACATGGCATCCTGTGGATGCATCTTTTGAACTTATGTCATCCAGTTCAATACCAACCACATAACCCTTCCCTTAAGACCTACATTTTGGGGGCCCAGTGGCGTGGCCTAGCGGCTAAAGTCCTCGCCTTGAATGCGCCGGGATTCCATATGGACGCTGGTTGGTATTCCGGCAGCTCCACTTCCCATCCAGCTCCCTGCTTGGATGGGAAGTGGAAAGCAGTCGAGGACAGCCCAATGCTTTGGGATCATGCACCCATGTGGGAGACCTTGAGGAGGTTTCTGGCTCCTGGCTCTGGATCGGCATAGCACCGGCCGCTGCGCTCACTTGGGGAGTGAATCATCGGATGGAAGATCTTGCTGTCTATCTCTCCTCTCTATATATCTGACTTTGTAATAAAAATAAATAAATCTTGAAAAAAAAAGACCTACATTTTCCTCCATACTTTCTCTTCATTCCATTTGGGGTTGAAAGACAGTGGGAAGCCAGAGTGAAATCAAAACAGATGCTGACCAGAGCCAGCATTTTGATTCCAGCTTGGAATTTTGATATTCCAGGATCTTTCATACTACTTTAGGCTAGCACAGTTTTTGCAAAGAAATCCATATCTTCAAATAGTGCCTGTGCCTTGTACATGCTGCTCCTTTAACTTGTCATGCCCTTTCAACTTTGTTTCCCTGGTCCAGCCTTGGTGATGCAGCTCATCTCTTTGCTCCTCCTTCTGCTTCCTGATTCAGATGCCTCTCTTCCTCTACCATGCATTCTTGACAACATACACCCCGCCCCCGTTGTTGTGCTGGATTATAGATGTTAATTGTCATGGATACCTGTTCTAGTATTCTTTGAGAACCTATGTCATCCTCATCATTGTGCTCACAGGATCTAGCTGGACAGCAAGCCCCTTGCATGCATCCAAATACAGCGTTTGCTCAACGAATAAATACTCCACAGCTCCACTGTGAAAGGAAGTAGCCATCTGTGTTCTATGGGATTCCCATCCTAGGAACAGCAGCTGTTTATCCAGGGGTCTGAATATGGGGGCCACTTGCATATTTGTCTCATCACGCACTCCCCATGACAGAGCTGGCAGCCCCACATGGTGCAACGGAGCCTGCTTTTTCCAGCCCTAGACGTCTCAGACTGGCCATCCTTGCATGCCAGGCAGCAGCAGCAAAGCAGAATCAAGCAGTTACCTAGAGGCTATGGAACCAGGTAGGGAGTCCCAATCACATTCCAAAGTGAATGATGATCCAGATTAACAATACGAGGGCACTGCAAAAAGTTCAAAAGTTTGTGGAAAGGGAATTAAAAGAGAGGTTTATCTAAAAAATATTTTCAAACCCAGGAATATGATGGATCTTCAAAAAGCTCATGAAAAAAATATTATGAAAACATGGTGTATGGTTTTACAAAAAAAAAAAAAAACCTTTTGTTTCCAGATGCCTATATCTTTTAGTTCCATTTTTCCATGACCTTTTTGAAAGACCCTTACAATTGGCATCATATGGGGGGCATTTCCTGTGTGATTTTCCTGGGATTTAGAGTGGGGGTACATCTAACATTGGAACCCAAGCCTAATGCCGTCTTAACCATGAGATGATTTCCAGATACAAGTTTCTACCTGGCTTACATGAAATGGAAGGCTGCTGGAAATGAGTCCATCTGGAAGGGCAGGGGGCACTTTTCAAGAGGTTTTAGTAATGGCACCATCACACACAAACTCAGGAATAAGGGGCCCACGGTGTGACTAGCATCTCCTGGTTTATGACACTGCTCAGGCTTACCTTGGAGAATGTGCATATTAACCAAGTCGGCACGGTCGGACCTGCTTCTGGCCTTGTGCTTCAGGGAATCTTCAGTCTGTAGAACAGAAGCATAGGGAATCACCCAGCTTTAACTTTGGAAAAAAAAGATAAGTCTCAATTCCTTTCGAAGGGAAGAGTGCTCTACTTATAGCACGTGGAACTTGCACAACCACCTCTCTCCCAGGCATCTCATAGTGTGATGAAGAGAGTGTTGCGAAGGTGGCCCCTATGCAATTCTGTGATGTGGAAGACAAAGAGGACCAGGCTTACATCAGGGCTAAAAGTTCTTCAAGGGCAAGGCAGGTGCAAGCTAATGCAACATCCTTGTGACAGTTGTGCTCCTTGGACTGTTTGTGTAATAACCAATCTTCGTGCACTGCCTTTTCAGATACACCCAGGGCCGAGAAAAAAATGTTGCCTGAATCTATCGAATGGAAGCTGATAGCGTATGTTCCCTCTTCTGCTACCTGTTTGACCACTCTCTTGGGACTTGTGAGAATGGAAAGCTTTGAGATTCTGACCCCTCGGTGTGTTGGAAGGACAACTGGGAATACATCCTTTCCCAAGTCTCAGCCTCTTTCAGATGATGCACTGCTTATAACGATGATGGGAGTGAGGTGGGACCGATACTGAACCCCAGGTCCCTGATTTTCCGTTCTGAGCCAGGCCCTGTGGAATCACTCCAGCTCTGAGAAAAGACAGCCTGCTGTTCTTTGTTATTCTTTAGCAGGTAGAAAAATGGCTACTCAGGAGTGCTTTTGAAGAGTTGCAGAACCTTGCTCTTCCTGTCGACTTCACGGACGGACGAGTTGCAAAGGCTGGGACTCTGAGGCAAAGCGATCCAGCCTGAATATCCGCACCCCCTCGCTTAAAGTGCTGATGCTTGCTAAACGGTACGTATGTTACTGATAAACTCAGGCTGCAAAAATCTCTTAGGAAGGTATAGACCTTGCATCGACTATATCCCAATTTCCGCCCTCAAATGCATAAAACACGCACAGAAAACAAAATGGCAAATAAACAGAGCTGCAAATAAACAATATCCACAGACCCTGCCTTATCATTCAAGCAAATTTACAAAATTCTCTCTTGCTCAGAGAACATTGCAATAAAGGGTAGAAAAGTCAGCTTGCAAACCAACTTCCATTCCCCTCACCAAAATCCTTTCGACCTCTAGTGTCTCGTTGTGACTTTTTTTTTTTAACATTAAACAATAAAAGTTTCAAAGGTAATAAGGTTGATCCTATTTCTAGCTTTCAGTTAATAGGAATAAGATTCCATACGCTGTGAGGGCAGGATCCATCCAGTGGACAGAGTTTGTTGTAGAAATGTTACTTGTGTTGGTTGAAGTTTAGTATTCAGGGAACCTGTGCCTTATAGTTGGAGTTCAGGAATGGCATTTTGCCAAGAACAAACAAAAAAATTACCTTGTCACTATCCAAATTTTTTCTTTGCTCATGGAATTCAGTTGGACTTTTCAGTGCTGAAACAGAAAGACAAAGACATGAGCAGAGGCTGCGTTAAGGGTGTGGGTCATTCTTGCAGGATTTGTTGGTGGGCTTGTGGAGCTTGGCGTAGTATGGAAGTGATTGCCTTTTCCAGGCCACAAGCAATGAGAGAGGATAGGCCTTGAGGATGCCAGCCACCCTGAAGCCAGACGAGACAGAAGAAGGTGGACGTCAGGTCTAAGCCAAGAGGAGCAGTGGGGGTGGAGCTTGAGACAAGTGGTGGGGTTAGGGCCTTCTGAGACCTGAGGAAACAGCAGGGCTAGCGCAAGACGGAGGATGGAAATAGCACTGTTGTTTGAGGGACGGAGTAGATGGGATAACCGAGTCTCTCCCCTTTGTCTGCTGCGGAGTGCCAAAGGCAGCAGGGATCGTTACACTCTGGGGTAGGCGGTGGAAAACGGCAGGAAGGGACTGTCTTCCGGATCTAGCACAAGTCTAGTGGGTCAGAGACACGGAGTGGGAAAGCACAGATGCAGACTTTAAGGGTTGGAAGGGACATGACAGATAAATGAAGTTCAATTCCAGCTCTGAACAGAATGGAGAAGAAGCAGAGGTCCATAGAAGTGGACAGACCTGTTCAGGGTCACCCAGCGAGGGCTAGGAGCCTAGGTCCTCTAACCAACATACGCTCTTTGAAAGCAGGAGGCTCAGAACACTACCAGGTGGTCAACACAGGTACTGGTCCTATAGTATACACAGTAACTGTAAACCACCTGCACTGAATGCTAGTATACCTCTTTGCACTGCATTCTCCTCTGAGTCCCAGTATCTTTGCATTTAGTGAACTCCTGACCAATCAAAGGAAGATAATTCCATTTAGAATAGTTCCAACTTTTCCAGATTTTCCTGTGTCTCTCCCCCGTTCCCCCCCCCCCCCCACACACACACCTGGAACAATCTTTGTCAGTAAGCCACAGTCACCTTTCACAGTAAGTGCTGTGGTTGGTCAGAGGTTACAAAAATTACACTGGTTTTTCTTTTCCCCTTGACTTGTAAGTCTGGACAAGTTGATGGATGACATGAGCCAGAGCTCTAAGATGACTCTAACAGATGTCCACTCTTTAAAAACTGCAGGCAGGCAAGTGTTCTTGCAAATCTGAGTTGGAGTAAAAAATGCATTTCTGGCCAGTTTACTTGGAGTCAAGTGTGTGTGTCTGTGTGTATGCGGTGCCTTATCCAGTCTTTAAGGCCATACTATATCTGATTGTAGTTTTTAGCAGGCATTTTATGGACATCAGACACACAAAGTTGTGGTCACAGTGGCAATTGTTAACAGTAGCCAAACACATTATCTTATGTTCTGGATACCAGCTCTTGGGATGTTGATAAGGCAATGATCTCTATAAATCTCCATGGTTCACCCTGACAGTAATGGTGTTGACCAAAGGAATGTGCAGAAACAGTCCCAGCTGACTCCCTGTGCCAAATACAGGCATCTTTTTTTATTTTGACCCATGTTATAGAGAAAAAAGAAAAGAACATTATGCCTGCATATTGCATTTACCACTGTCCAAGTACCAGTGTCTCTTGAGTTTTGTTCTTGCAAATGGGCTTATCTCCCAAATCAGTCCTTGTACATGGCCATCTCCTCTCTCCTTCCATTTCTCCTTACACACTGACTGGGAAGTGTGGGATGTTCCATGTGGCTCAGGCATCATCTTTGATTTGAAATCTGTCACCTTTTCCTGCTTTTTAGCACAGTTGAAATTCATATTGAGGGTACTCTGAAAAAAGACCCTGTTTCCTCCAGGAAATCAGATTATTCAAAGTTAGCCTTGATGTTCACTGTGCCCTTGTGAGCCTGAATAATCCACCTGCATGGGTCTTTGACTTTCACATACCACCTACTGGTCCATTGATTAGACCTATATCCAGGCATGGCATAATTACTCACATAATTCAGAAAACAAACTACCTTCGTGTGGCTTTCCCAAGTGGCTAACAAGAACAATACGTCCTTTCCTTCAACAGGTGCTCCAAAGGGAATAATGGCCTGGATATATTTGACATCTCTCTTTTTTGTTTCAAACACAATTGGTTTTAATGGGACTTGGGACTTTGAAAGAATCTGCTTGTCTTGTCCCCAAGGTTCTTCAATTCCTTATTAGTTGGAACTTCTTCATTATTCTAAGAAACACTGCTTTCTGTGTTTTGTAGCTTCACACAGCCACAGCTCTTTGTGGCTTAGTGTGAATAACTCCCCTGTGAAATGATTCACAGTCCAGCTCTCTGATGCCAGGAGCCTTGAGGTCACCTGGAACCTTCTACCCCAGGTCTGGGAGAAGTTATGTCCAGTTTCACAATCATTCATGCAGGACATCAAGAAGGTCCATACACACTGTGTCTCCTTCATGTTGTTCGCCTTGGGGTTCACGGGGCACCAGCTTGAGGTCACACCGTGGAAAGCTACCCCACCATGGCCCTGGGGCTGAGGTTTCCATTTTCCGTGACTCCAGAGAACTGTGGGGTTTAAGCCACTTTCTCTGGGGGCCTGCAAAATCCCCAAGGCCCCCTTTCCCTAGTTAACTTTTTTTTTTTTTTGCAAAACACACTAGGATCGCTTTTGCTGGCAGCCTTGGGAGTATCAAATGGCAAAAATTTGTATTTAAAGGACATTGACATTTCAGATGGAAAAGGAATTTAGATTTTTAAATTATAAAAATAAGTCCATGCAATTTCAAATTAAAACGCAGTCATAAATTCAGTCAGCCACACATCTAACTCGTTCCCCTTGGAAGAAGATTAATGGCTCCTCACAGGGGAATTCGCGTTCTCGCCTCAGCGCTGGGTTGCGGGCTAGTCCTATTTCTGTCCCTACAGCTCTGGCTAATTTGGGTCAGCTGTGTATATAAACATTTGCTTACTTAGAGCCCAGAGAAAGATGGCGAGATAAGAACAGGCCCCCTGCAGTTCTCTTCACTCCAACCCCAAGCCTCCCATGAGATGCCAGACAAAGAGAGCAAAGAAGTGGGGGAGCGCAGGAAGGGAGGCCAGGGAGCGTAGTTAGGACAGGAGCTGGAGTCTTCAGAACAGAGTAGCAGTGTCTGGAGTCACGCCGCAGCTTAGGCAGCAGAGCAGGGCTGTAGCTATGGCAGGGTCTGGTATTAGGCCTTCACTGTCCGGGTGGGGGACTTCCACTAGGACTAAGGGTAAAGACCAAGAGGCAGAGTCCATGAGCAGGAGACTCGTGGTAGCAGGTGGCACAGGAGTTTCCCAATAGTGTGGCTCCTGGACCAGCAGCTATAGTGGCAACTGGGAATGTGCTGGAAGTTCCAATTCTTGGGCCCTGGCGGGACTTAGGGATACGTATCATCACAAGCCTTTTGGGTGGCTCTGGTTTGTACGTTTGAGGATCACTGCTGAGAGATTTAGTAAGGCCACTGGGTCCTGGTCTGGGGTCTTTGGGAATCTGGGAGTTTCAGAAAGGGGCAGTGGACTTTCAGGGCTGATTTTTTAATATTTTAACAAATTGCAAATGGAGGCTTTGTTGGTTAATGAAGGCTACTAAAGCCGTCATTTGTCACTGCTCCTGCTTAGAGTCATAGCAATATGGTTTAATAATGGTTATTATTTATCGGAAAACACTGACTGCTAAACTTATATTCTGCTGACGAATCTAAAAATAGGTTTCCAAATTGATGCTTAGTACATATAAGATTCTTGAAGGGGAAAAGACAAAAAAAAAACCCTTCAAACATAAGACCTGCAATAGGGAAGGGCATAATTTCAAAAAGTCTTAGCTACTCCCCAAATCGGGGGATTGTCCATGGAGTTCTGTTCTTACTTTGCTATCAATTTTTGGTGTATTCTTGAACAGTCTGCAAGTCTACCAGAGCCCTCAGTTTCCCACTAATAAGGTGGGCTTGGCAGTGCTTGCTTTGTAAAGACAAGCAGGGGCAGGAGCGCTTTTCGTTGGAGCAAACAGGATATATGCCACTTGGAAGGGATAGTTCTTTGCAAATATTTACGTGGGCAATACATTGCCTATTCAATAGTCCAATGACAGAGGAGTGCAAAAATAGTGCTATTCCTAAACAAGCTTATAATATGTAAGATTTGGCTTACACAGTTGAGAATTCATTGCAACCTATAAGAATACTTGAAATTGTCTGGAAGTTAGGTACAAAGATATAGTTACCTGTAATGAACTTATTTTGTGCATTCTAAGCAACAGAAAAGTGGAACATCGAAAGACAGGTGAGAGAAAACAAGAGAGTTAGGACTGCTGATCCCAATGGATGTGATGTGGAAATCCAGGATTCCTTTTTCTATCTCTGTATTTGAGATGTTAGAAAGAAAGGCAGAGGCAGAGAGATTAATCCTCTTGTGCTGTGTTCTGCTCAAACAGCCAACAGTGTGTGGTAGGGTGCTGTAGGGAAAAGCCAAGTCAGATGAATGCATTGAGAAAAGGAAGAGAGACTTGGTCAACTTCTCGAAAACTATTGTGAAGCTGCACGGCGTGTGGGTACAGGAAATGTCCCGGTCATTCTTCGTGCTATTCAGAAGCATCACAGAATTCAGGGATTTACCCAGGCCTTGCAGTAAGTGTGTGGCTGCTGTGGCTTGGATTAGTCTGCAAAAAAAATAAAGGCAGCACCATTCATAGACAGCTCATTGCATCTTGACGTTCATTGTCATTGATCAGGTCTTGGAAATGAGCTTCCCTGACAGCTCTGTCTGGGACAGTTTTCTCTAGAGTTTGTGGACAAATAGCAGTCTCTCTTGGGCCCCAGGTCCTCCAAAACCCATTTTAGTTCACCAATTATGTCTTCCACATTCCAAGAAAATGGGCTTATGTTTCCTCCTGTCTCCCAGGCTTTCAACAATAGGCTCATGTCAGCAGTAGAGGAAGAGAAAAAAAATGTCTTTCCTTCAGTTTTTATAATATCTACGCTCATCAACGGGTATAAGGCTGTTGAGAACTATTCCAGGTAACAAATGGGAAGTGATGTGGTCCCCTGCTAGACTGGAATTACTTTGAAGCAGAAATCATGTCTGCTTGTGTGTTTTCACCCCAGAGCCTTCATCAGAAAAGTTTACGCATACTGATTTCACCACTCTGTGACCATTGGATTGGGTCTACTTCACGTAGCTGATCATTCCACACTAAGGTCTCTGCAGTGGATGCAACCAAATGATGGTATTTTAGAGTTGACCCTAGGAGAGTGAGGCCTTGGATAAAGAGCTTCATGTGCGGAAACGTACACTAGAAATGATGGACAGACTCCAACACTGCAGGTCTTTAATAAGGGGAGAAGGTTGGTGCTAGACTGTGAGAAAGTAAGGATTTTTTACTAGATGCCTTCTTGTAGCATCTAGCCCCAGAGGAAGAGATAATCCGGCATTTCATTTTGAACCCTGGATTGGATTGTAAATGAGGCAAACTGACATCTCCATTCTGGGATTCAGAAGTCAAGTTTTGGAGCTAAGTTCAAATAGGAAGAGTTGAGTATTTCTGCATTTGCTGTGAGAGGCTATTTCACAGCCATTTTGAAAAAGTACACAGTGGAGAATGGCTCAAGCCTTGGACCCCATTACCCGTATGGGAGACCAAGAAGAAGTTCCTGGCTCCCAGCTTTGGACTAGCCCAACTCTGGCCATTGCAGCCATTTATCCTTCCTTCTCTGTCTCTTTCAAGTAAAATGACTGATGCTTAAAAAAAAAATAAAATAAATATTTATGAGAAGTCATAATAAAAAGAATTTGGGGGCTGAAGTATGGCAGCATGTTTAACATGCCACTTAGGATGTCTAGATCTTGCATCAAAGCACCTGGGTTCAAATCCCAGTTCTGCTTCCAACGCTAGTTTCCTGACAGTGCACTCCATGGGCGGAGGCTGGTTTAACTGGTTGGGTTCCTGTTACTGATGTGGAAGGTTTTCATCAATTTCCTGGATCCCAGCTGGAGCCTAGCCCACCCCTGCCTATTGTGGGCATTTGGAAAGCAAACCAGTGGGTGGAATCTCTGCCTCACTCACTCTCTTTCTCTCTCCCCCTTTCAAAAAAATTTAGAAAAATAAAAATCTGGGGGTGTGCATTTAACAACTTGTTACCTTATTTTAGAGTTGTTAAGTGCAATTGCTCATTCTTACGTCTGACTCCACCTTCCTGCCAAGTACAAGCCTGAGAGAGACAGCAGTGATGGGTCAAGTCGTTGGGTTCCGGTTGGCCATGTGGGAGACCTGGATTACATTCCTGGCCCTTGACTTTGGCCTTGGTTCAGCCCCTACTGTTATAGATATTTGAGGTGTGAACAAGTGGTTGCTTAGGAACATGCTCGCTCTCTGTCTCTGTCTCTCTGTCCCTCTCTCTGCCTCGCATATCAAATAAGCAACTTAATTAAAAAGTTTTTTTGTTATTCATTTCTGTGAACGATTTATTATTCAGCACCACCCTCAAAACCAGGAGGATGCATGCCCAGGAAGAAGGAAGAAATTCATTTGTACTCGTTTCACTGGTCAACTCAATATTGCACATGCTGTCAGCTGATTAGAATCAGTAGGAGGGAAAGCTCAGAATTTGCTCATCAGTGTGGAGTGCAAGTAGCTGAATAAGTGACATTTTCCACTCAATGTTGGTCACCGTGAGACAAAGATGTGTTAGTTTATCTCTGGTGTTTTCACACATTCATTTTTCATTTTTCCAATTCCAGCTAAATATTTTTTGGCTGCAAGCTGTTCTATGATCAAGGTATCAGTAAGGGCTTTCAAAGACAGCATGATGGCGTTTGAACATTTGAGCAAAGGCAGGGAATGGGAGACACTGAGTTTGGCCTCAGCTCTGCTGCCACAGGAGGGAGTTATTATCTATTTATTTGTCTTTTTCAGGGGACAATCTCTGGAGACTTCATCTAATGACAAAGTTAAGATGGATTCTGCCAAACAATGGCAGGTGTTTTCATCGATCAGCTAAAAATAACCTAAACACAACTTGCAGTTCACATGGCCACCAGATTCAAATTTAGACAACCTGTGGCGAACTTCAGGATTTGGGGGAGGATTGTAATTATTTGAGATCTTCTGATTGCATGCATTTAAATTCTCATAAGTCAAGTCTGTAGAAAATGAAACAACTTTGGATTTGGCTTTGGGGTATTTGAAAGAGCTCTTTAGCTTCTTCAACCACATTTGTGTGTGTGTGTGTGTGTGTGAACATCATGGATGAATGGGGACTGTTTGAGATCACAAGTCTTTGATCTGTTTTCTGAAGAGAATCTCCATGTTAGAGAATTGGTATTCTCAGAGGCTTCTACAAAGAAAAAGGGGAGCAGCTGGGGCAGAGGTCCTCGAAGCCACTGCAGACAATACATGCAAGAACTTTAAGAAAATCATGGAAAAATGGAACTAAAGGATAGACTTCTTTTGATGTGCAAACTTTCAAAATGCATACATAGTTTTTCATAACATACATAAAAATTTCTTTAACAACAACAACAACCCCCAGGAAAATCATAGGACTGGATGATCTCTGAGGACCATTGGATTGTCTACCTTCCTTCCTTCTTCTTTCCACTTCCTTATTCCAAAAATTATGAACTAATTTCCTTATGAACATAAGGAGTCTTCTTATGGAATGTGATGAGTTACACACTCAATTGCACACATTTCTGTTCTTACTATCTTTGGCAGATAAAATGTGTTCTCAACCACTGATTCACTTACCAAATATCCACAATAGGCCTTGCATGGGAATAAAGGTGGGAGCCAAGACCAAGGTTTCCCACATGGGGTGCAGGGACCCAGTCACTTGATCCATTGTTGTCACCCAAGGCCTGCATTTGCAGGATGCTGGAGTCAGGAGCCACTGCCAAGCATTGAACCCAGATGGTGCATGGGAATTCTCTTTTTAAAAAGATTTTCCTTATTTGAAAGGCACAGTTAACATACACAAAGAAAGAGAGGGATGTATAATATTCTTCAGATGGGTACAATGGCTGTGTCTGGGCCAGTCCAAAGCCAGGAGCCAGGGATTTTATGTGCGTCTATCATGTTGGGCCATCATCTGTTGCTTTCTCAAGTACATGAGCAGGGAACTGGATCAAAAACAGAGTAGCTAGGACTTGATGAGTGCCTATACAGAATGCTGGTGTAGCAGGTATCGCCTTACCCACTTTACTACAACACCAGCCCCTGGGATTTGGGCATTCTAAGTGGCATCTTAACTGCTAGGCCAAATGCCTTCTCACCTGAACTCTTGGATTCTCTTTCAAGGGCCATCTTGCTCAGCACTGCTGTCCCTCTATGGTCTAGCACACCACCTTGTGCATAATTCTGCTTTAGAATACAATCTGCTGAATGAGAGCATGTTGAGAACTCCTGGGGACTCTCGATTTCCCTTCCTTTATCCTAACTGTCTGCCTCTTCACAGGCTCTGCAGGGCACAGCGTTTGCATATTAGGCCCCTACTTGGGTGGAAGAGGCCAGCTTCCAGCAGGTGAAAGGATGCACTGTGGGACTCACTTTCCAGGAAGATTTAAGGCAACGCCTGTGAAGCGTGCCTCCTTTGCCCATGTCTCCACGGGTGAATTTACACTTTTGCAAAGTTAGATGGGAAGGAGACATCTGAAGACTAGGGAGACTTCCATCACTATGCCAAATCAAAAAAGACCATTTTATTCTCTGCAGGACTTTTTTCTTTCCCTAGAAATTGTCTTAATGACGTCCTGAACTTTAGATGCAAAATTCTAACTGAGCCATGTTTTATGAAGATCTATGCTCTATGATTCTTGAAGCTCCAGCAAACAAGATCTGATATCCCCTCTGGACTCTACTCAACAAATAGATATTTGATATACAGAGCTTGATGCAAGAAGTGTTATTTTAAGTTGCTCACAGTGTTCTTTCCTATCTTCAGTGAATGTTGAATGATCCACCAATTTAATCCTGATACCTCAAAATATGTTTAATCCTATCCAAACACCCGCTGTCAGATTCAGGCTCAGGATTTCTAACCTTACCTGAGTTGAATTTTCAATCAGTTGTGAAGGAACTTGGGTACATTGAAAAGTCCTGGGTGCATCCACATCATTTTTCATTCCCAAATTCAGGAAAAAGCAATCTCCATGAAGAGATAGAGGATCAGCTTTGGATGAGTTTGTATTTACCTGCCCATTTGTGCTGGGACAGTTTTCCTACCCAATTTCCATTGAAATCAAGAATACGATTTTTAAAATTACATGATAGATGTTACTGGAGAAAATAATAATTGTATCCAACTTACAAAAAGGTTATGGATACATGTAGTAAATTGTATTTATGCCAAGAACAAATGAACTACGTTGGAATTTTAGCCACAATGATATTATTCAAAGAAGTAGAGACTGGGGTGAAGCATCTTGGGTTTGGGATTTATGCCGACACCAATTCTACAACGCTCAGACCAAACAATCTCTGAGGAATTTTCCAGTTCCTACACAGCGCCCCAGGGTCCCACGGCTGTTGTCCAGTACGCAAGCGATGCAGTACTCACGTGGTATTATGCCTTGGTTAGCCAGTTGTTCCTGGGTCCTCCTCTGTTGAAGTCGTAACTGTAAAACTTAGAAAAGGAAGCATTTGTTGGTGAGTTGGACTAAAGGTAACCTCCATCATATATCATCATTATCATTTTATTTGTAGAACAGTCCTGGAAACTTCCTCGAAGTGCATATTTATTTCTGTTGCCAACACAGAGGGGAGAAAAGGGGAAGAAGAGTTGAGAGGCTGCTGGGGTTTGCAGCAATTTGGTGCCACACTGGGATTCCAGCCTTTGCCTCCTCCATGCAGTGGATGCCATTTCTTCACAGCCACCGCACTCCCTTGCTACCTTCTCTACTAGTTGCTTAATGACGATCGTCAGATTTGGAGATCATCAGACATATTCAACCTCTGGTTTATAACAGGAGACAGTAAAGAGCTTGGGATTTGGAGTCCCACAGAAGTGAAAAAAATCTCATCTCTACCACCTTAACAAGACATGGCACCCTGGGGAAGTTACTTCCTCATTTGTACACGGGAACAATGGCCATGATGTGGTTTGACTGCCACATGTGATAAAGTAAATGCTTGCACCTTGCTTAGCTTAGTGTGGTTAGCATACACAATGTCATCAGTGAACACTAGTATGATAAGAATCTAGGATCCTTTTGGGAATTTTAAAAACCTATTGGGTTTATGCTTTGCATAGTAAAAACAAAACTTTATAAAACTGTCCAAACTATATATTCTAGGTGTAAATATCTACATACACATTGCATATGTATTATGCATTCCCAGTGTTGATAAATTATATATTCCAGATGCATTATAATGCTAATATACATTAAATTATGAATATATATTTGCAACTTTCTCCTGCTTCTCATCTCTCTCCCTAAACACATTCTATCTTGGACATTCTGCTTTTCCTCATTGGATTCCATTTTCCCAGGGGTAGTTTGGAGTTTGCCCTCTTGGTCCTTGGGCTTAAGGTGAACAGCATAAGGACAAGCACGTAAAGCACAATAGTTTGCAAAGTGAAAGGTGGATTTACGGAGCCAAGTCAGAGGGGAGATCAAGAGCTGTTTTTTTATGGAAAGAAAATTAGAGTGAGGGGAAGAGAAACAGACATGAAATGGCTTGAGGCTGGGTTTATTCAGTCTTTCACCTCAAGGCTTCAGAGTGATTATAAAGCAATCTGAAAAAGCAATGGAGAAAGATAATCTAAAAAAAAAACTGCAATGGTTTGAAATTAGGACCTCATCGACCTTTTTTGTGAGACACCAATACTGCTTCAATTGCCGTGAGTCCATTTTAGCCGCTGGACTGGATACCCCTTAAGATGCCTTATTAGACCTAGAGGGCTCCAGGGTTCCAGGCCTGGACCACAAAGGAGGACTGAATTGTTTGGTCAGGGGATAGACGAAAATGATACAAGAGCTGCTCAGGTCCCTTTCAGGATAAGCCTCCCACGAATAAAAACTGTTCTGAAAACAGCTTGAAAAAAAAGTTCTGAAGATAACACGAAAAATAACCAGGACTCCACAATGTGAACAAAATCAGGCCACTGAGGGACATGCAAACATGGAGAGGTGACTTGCACTTTGGAGGAGGGAGGCAGGGACTCGCCTGAGAAGGGCTGTAGGGATGAATTGATATTCACGGGCAAATTGATAGTTATCGGCCCAGGTTCTATGGTCTTGCTTCTGATCCAGCTCCCTGCCACCGAGCCTGGGAAAACATCAGAAGATGGCCTAAGAACTTGAGTCACTCATGTGGGAAACAAGGATGGAGAGCCTGGCTCTTGGCTTCAACCTGGCCCAGTCCTGGCTGTTTCAACCATTTGGAGAGTGATCCAGAGGATGAAAGATTTTTCTTCCTTTCTCTTTCTGTATTCCCCTGCCTTTTAAATAAATATAAATATTGAAAATAAATTTTAAAAAACAAAGCATAGGGCCCAGTACAATAGCCTAGTGGCTAAATCCTCACCATGCCTCCATTGGGATCGTATATGGCCACTAGTTTGTGTCCTGGCTGTTCCACTTCCTTTCCAGCTCCCTGCTTGTGGCCTGGAAAAGCAGTAGAGGATGGCCCAAAGCCTTGAGAAACTGTACCCACATGGGAGATCCAGAAGAAGCTCCTGGCTCCTGAAATACATATATTTCAGGATACAGCCCAAAATTACTCCATACATAAAACCCTGGAGCAGCTGTGATTCCCTGTGAATGAAATCAACAGGAGACAACCAGCCAGGAGATGACTCAGAAGTTGGAATTACTAGATAGGCAGTTAGTAGTTTTTAAAACTTTATTTTTTATTTACTAGAAAGGCAAGTAACAGAGAGAGTCAGGGATTGTCAATTTCCCCAAATGCCTTCCACAGCCGGGACTGGGCAAGGCTGAAGCCTGGAGTTTGCAATATGGGTGGCAACGGCCTGCATGCTCGAACCAGCATCTGCCATCTCTCAGGATACATTGGCAGCCAGCTAGATTAGAACTGGAATAGCCGGGACTTGAACTGGCTCTCTTGAATATGAGATGGAGGGCGTCCCGAGTGTCAGCCTAAGGTGCTGGGCCACACGGCCCGTTACCATCGCTAGTGCTTTTATAATCATTCTTTATTCTTTCCAGTATAACTTCCCATCAGCTCAAAGAACTTCCTTGAGCATTTCATAAAGAGAACTGGCACCGAATTATCTCAGCTTCTTCTTTTGCTTGAAAATATCTTTTCCACCTTCATTTATAGAGGGCATTTTCTATGTTGGGTTGACAATCTTTTATTTGTTTGTTTATTTTTAATCCTCCAGCTCTCCATGTTTCTAATGAGAAATCTGTAGTTATTCAACTCCACGCTTCCCTTTTAACAATGTGTTGCTTTTCCCCACGACTTTAATCACTCTGGTTGATCTTCAGTTATTGCCTTATTAAGGTTCTAAATATAATTTTCTCTGAAAAAGAGAGTAGTTCCAAAAGTTTGTGGTAGATGGAGTTAAAACATGAAAATCAATACTTTTTTTTCCCTCCTAATATGTATTTTCCATGAATTTTTAAAACATTGAGTCATTGATTCATCACCAACCACTTCTGTCTCTTCCTGTTCTTTGATTTCTCCTCCCTGTCTCTCTGGTACTGTTAATTCCTGATGAGAAAGTTGAAGCAGGAACTGCTGCTTCCTAAGAATTGAAAAGTAGAGCCTGGCACGATAGTCTAATGGCTAAATCCTTGCCGTGCATCCACTGGGATCCTATATGGGCACTGGTTTGTGTCCCAGCTATTCCATTTCCCATCCAGCTCCCTGCTTGTGGCCTGGGAAAGTAGTAGAGGATGGCCCAAAGCCTTGAGACGCTGCACCAGCATGGGAGGCCTGGAGGAGACTCCTGGCTCCTGGCTTTGGATTGGTTCAGCTCTGGCCATGGTGGCTACTTGGGGAGTGAACCAGCAGACAGGAAATCTTTCTGTGTCTCCTTCTCTCTATATATCTGCCTTTCAACAACAACAGCAACAAAAAGAATTGAAAAATGACAGTCTCAAGGCTGGACACTTCTACATGAACCATTTCGTTGAAATCTCCCCATAATCTATATCATTATTCCCAAGTTATAGCTGCTGATGCTCAGGGAGCATAAATGTCCCAAGAGAAACAAATTTCCAGTCCACAATTTGGGGCTTCAATGTTCTGCTTCATAGGTGCCAGTCTGGGTTTTTTTCTAAAATCAAGAATCAAAAGACTCTAGAACGCAAGGCATGTTTCACGCTATCTGCCATGAGAAAATTCAATACAAAGAACTCTCAGCTCAGAATCTTCTCCCGCAGCGTCTCCATGGCAACAGTCATGTAGGGTACCATTCTCCTTCTGAAGCCAACATGCAGATGGGTGAGAGTTCCAGCCGATACAGGTGATGGCCCTAGCTGAGTCTCCGATGAGAAGGAGGTTCCTGAGCATCTCAGGCTGTGATGACATCACACTGAGTGGTTGCCATGGTTTTGGTGAGAAATGTTGCTTTTCAGGGGATTGCGAAACGCTTTGTGTTCCAGCTTCATGCTCGCTCACTCCTGACAGAGTGGAAAATGTGCCTCCTTGGATGAAATGTTCCTCTTGAGTGCAGCCCAAAGATGACATTTTTAGGAAAGTTTGAGAAGAATCCTGTGGCTGTGACTGAGTCACGATAGAGTGGAAATGGATCTTTTCTATTTAAAGAATTCTGTGCTACTGTTTGAAAATGTCACATTGCTAGGGAACACTGAAAGTGGAAAACTTTTCCACTAGCTATCAACAAAGACAGATCATTACTAGATGCAAAGTAATGGGGTTGACAGGTTTTGTTACCTGTCTGACAGAAGTGGTAGTAGGCGGCAGGGAGTTTTCAAGACTCTTAAGTCTGGAACGTAGTGGTTTAGAGACTGTATCTACATCACTGTATATCTGGCGCTGAGTGACTGGGCTGTGTATCTGGCTCTGGCTCCTGATTCCAGCTTCTTGCTAATGTGCACCATGGAAGGCACTGATGATGGCTCAAGTGGTTGGGTTCCAGCCACCTGCGTGTGAGACCTGGATTGTATTCTTGGCTTTTGTCTGGTCCCTGGCTGTTGAAATCATTAGAAGAGTGAACAGGTGCATGGGAGCTCTCTGTCTCTCTGCCTCTCCAATGAAAAGTAGAAACAAAAGAAAAAGGGAATAGTAGCTATTTAAATAAGCTTGTGGCTCTCAAAAGGACTGACTGCTCATTATTGGACTTCACTCTGCTGTTCCTGTACAGCCGTCCCAGAGCTTGATTTGGATAAATTGAGGCAAGAGGATGTCCCCAGTGTACCTGCTGGAAGAGCCACCCGGGGCCCTGGCTTCAAAAGACACACATTTCCCAGGTCCCCTTCCTAGAGAATCTAGTCTAGTACGTTTGGGCTTGGATGGGAATACAATTTAGCAAAGCTTCAGAAAATTCTTGGGGAAAGAAGAAAAGATAGATTTGAGAGACAGAAATAAGTAAATATGTACACAGATGAGACCATGCTTTATTAATGTCATTTCTTCCTTTGCTTTTACCTTACATATACTGTAATACTTGGTAGTTGTGTGCGTATGTAG